ACATTATGGTTTCAGTGTTTCAAGCAAAATATTCACAAATGATGTATATATGGTATGCATAATTTTTGCCACAACAGTTAGTAAGATGTTTATGACAGAAGAAAAAAACTGCACACTGTGATTGATCAGTATTTCTTAAAAGTGAATTTGAGTAAATTAATTAATCTGTCTTCAAGGGAACGTAAATAAATCTTTAATTCGACAAAGGACCTATATTCCTTTGATAAGTTGAACCAAGACAGATATTGTAGTCTTGCAGCACATTTATTGAAATTAAATTACAGTGCAATTGAAACAATAATTTAAGTAAATCATGAACCAAATAAACACCATATTCTGATTATATAAATAGAACTTGCTCTTGGTTTAAGTGGGTGTAATTTAGGGCAATATTAAAATATCATGAGAAAATGAATTTGTCGACCATCAGCTATGCTGCTTATCCTTTGGTAGCTCTTTCTTTATAATCTCTGGGTAATGTTAGGTAATTTTGGGCAATGTTGCAAACCAGTGAGCATGACTGTTTCAGGGCAATATTGTTATTTTTGCATCAATATGATAATTAATTTGCTCAATTCATTTTAGCTCAAAAACAAACACTGGCTATTTTATCCAGAAACTGTTTCTGAATTGAATTTTCAGATAATTTGACTAAACTACAATATACTATGAAAGAGGATTTTACCCATACTGCTCATACTTAGTGTCATTGCAGTTGGCAATAGTTTCAGAGCTCAGAGGGGATCAAGTTTAAGGTTTCAATGTAATTTTGTAGAAGACTGTTATTCCAAAGTTGCTCCAACAGTCATTATTAATATCTGTTCTCAAATTTACATGGACTGCTGATGCTGTGACTTTCTCTCAGTGAAGAAGGATTCCTTAAGTTCACAACACTTTCCCTTGAACACTAATATAAACACACACTGAGCATCTGAGAAAATCGTTGAGAGTGTCTCAGGTGCTTCAAAATGTGGATTGATCAGGACAGCTCAGAGTTTTCTTCAGACTCAATTGACCTTATTGATCTGGTGTTATCCTCCCAGGAGGACGAGGTTGTGCTGTTCATTATTGGGCCTTCTTTCACAGCAGGGATCTCTTTATCAGCTAGTTTATAGCTCCACAGACAACTGCTATACTATATAAGATAGGAGTGACTACCCACACTGCGATCTGGGCCTCTCTAATTTTAAGAAGCGAGAAGGCCATGAGGTTTTCTTACTGAGAAGGTTTCCTGGCTACTTGTGATCCTGTGGAGTCCGGTGAACGGAGGCTGGCAATAACACTGCCAGGGTTAATGCTTCCAATCCTACCGGGGCCACCCATGCTAAAAATGTAGGCACTCACATCCATCTCATAGCAGTTTTAAGTAAGTAAGAGGAAGCTGAATGGTTGAAAACTGTTGCGGAAAGTGGTGATGGCTGTTTCAGAGTTAGGATTTGATATATATTGTCTCTCTCTAAAGGTATATGATCCTATTTACTGGTGAAAATAGAAATGCCACTTAATGTCGCACCAGAGCACCAGTATCTTAGACCAAAACAACCCTGCTCTTCAGCCCTCCAGACTCCATTGAGAACATTTATCATAAAAAAACAATTCATCAACTCACCAAAACTGTCTTTGTTAGTCTTTCTACTAACAATCACCAACTCTGGTTGGGTCAAAATAAACCCTTAATTCACCGAAATATTCTGGCACTATGCCTTAGCCAGTAGCCGCGAAACAGGCAATAATGGCTCAACGTAATCCTTGGGGACAAATGTGTCTGATAAAGTAGCTTACGTGCACTAAAACTGCAGCCGTCACCATTAGTTAGATAGTTTGTGTTAAACAGCAACATTTAATTTGTTGTTTTTTGTTTAAACAGAAACAGCCATTATGTAGCTCTCCCTAGCCACCAGACAGCATTTAGAAAAAAACAATAATTTAGCTCAAGCTCATTTCCAAGTCATGTTGCTATTTTCCAGAATGTATTTGCCATCTGCCACCTTGGCTTCAACTAGTTTCTATTTATATAAAATATAAAGTAAAATCTGGACTGGCGACCTTGTCCAGGGTGTACTCCACCTCTCGCCCGATTTTGTCAGATTAACTCAAAACAAACACCCCTGTCTCAGTACAAAGGTGCTTGCAGAAGCTTTTACTTCTTTACTTGCTCTCAACATCTCATTATCTAAGGAGTACAGAACTGGGGTTCTACTTTTAATACTATATGGCAATGGCCACAAGGCAAATGGTTCATTATATGGACTGGATCTTTGCTTTGAATGCATCAACTTCTCTTTTTCTGATATTTGCTGGAAAAATTATGAATAAAAACGGGGAATAATACATCATTAAAAAACAAATAATAAGTGATTTCCCCAAGCCCACACTCACTCTCAAATCCCATTTGATCCTCTTTCAATGTCTGGTTGCAAACCTCTGAAGGCAAGCAATGTTTTTTTTAGAGAAAACATCTTGAAAAATTTCATCTCAATTGCTCTCACAGATGTCCCCCCTTCCCTGCCTTTCTCACATACAGGTATTTAAAGCTCCGGCTGCCATGTTTAGGTGGCTGTGATGTAACTGGTGGGATTTCAAATGTAATTCTGGTGTCGAGGAGGGACTGCTCTCGTAAATGTTTGATGAACAACGAGGCACTCTGCTCGGACCGCTCAGATGCTTCCCGTGCTTCCCACGTTGGAAAGGGCTTTTTAAAGAGTCAACCGTCTCTATCAGGGCCACGTGGAGGTCCTAGGGTGCGCATGAATCAGACGGTGGTTACGATATAAGTGTGTGCGGTTCTGCCAGCACTCACACACATACAGTTGCATCCTGTCTTTCATACACTCCTTACACTCATTCTTTCTCTTCCTTCCTTCATTGGATCTTATTCCCTGCCTCCTCACATACTCCCCTGGGAGCCAACACTACAGTATTGCTTTTTATTGGACATTTATCCCAGTTGGCAGGTGAAGTTGGGCACTTCTCACTCCTACACAATCTCTCAGACCTTCCGCCAGTCATAAACACAGCCCCAGTATGACTAGGCCCGATTCCTTCACTTATTATCATTTATTTAAGGTCTCAAAGGCAGGGGGAAAGCCGGTGGGCGTGCCCTGACAGCGAGGCAGCAGAGCGTGGCGTTTTACCATCTGGGCCACACTGGGATCAGCACAACACGAGTGCCTGATCTAGATACATCACTAGCCATCAACGGCTTCAAGACACTCGCTGCCTGTCATACAGAACAGGACGGGCGACAGAACGCTCGCCCCGCAGCTAGCATGATAGCTGGAGCTTCTCCCCCCCTCTCCCCCTTCGTCTCTCTCTTTCTCTGTCAGCTGTAAGTGATGCTCTACAAAAAATATCCCTTTTAAGTATCTCAAAATCACACTGTCGGCTTGGAAAGTGGCTGCAAAAAGTTTGTTGTGGCTCTTACTTCATGAAGCATGATGGCTTAGTTCAATTTATGCGTCAAAAATCCTTAGAAAATTTTCAGACCTCTTTCTCCAGCATAACTATCTTTTATTTTTGTATGGCAAAATAATATCTTCTGTCTCAATAATCATGCCGACTGTGGGTGGAAGTAGCATAACATTAACGTAGAGCTACAAAACATCTTGGGGCGGAGGTCAAGGTGGATAGTTGTGTATCCAAAACGTCTGACTTCAAAACACAAGGTTGCCGTTTGATCCCTAACCTTAACCAACCTTAGCAAACCTTAACCTAAACCATATAGGTGAAAATCATTTAGAGAATTAGAGTTAAAATGTTAGAGCTGCAAAATATTACAAGTCTGTTTTGTATAGGCCTACATCTTCACACTTTATTACTATTGATCACCTGACATCTGTGTGCTGACAAGGACATAATACTCATAAACATCTTGTCGTACAAACATTATAATCACTTCACTGTCTTTTTATGTATGAAGTTTGTTAGCCAGGACAGCTTCCGGAAGAATGGTCCTGAGGAAAATACCCATTTGCATCATGGGTAGCTTTGTTGAAATGGGTTGGATTCAATTTTAAGGTGTTTCCCATTATTGTGCTCACTGAATCAGTCTTCTGATTTGACATGTCTTTTAATAGAGTTTTATATTTATACATTTTATGCCTGTATTACCTTTTGATGTGGTGCAAAATACTTTCAGCTGCTCCACAACAGTAGATTTTTGGGTAACGTATCCTGTTGGACTTCCTGCCGATCGCCAATGCACTCATATTATTTAGTCTTTCTGGGTTATCGCTATGAAAGCTTTATGGGATTTTAATGTAATATTTGGCAGGAGTACAAGCTGAGTGAGTGAGTGAGTGAAGGGTTTATTTCAGCCCCTTTGGGTGGTGTCAGCCTCATCCCTGTCTTCCTTTGCTACCGCCTCCTGAGACATGGACACTGTAAGAAAATGACACACAGTTAAAACCACAAAGGCCCCCCCACTGACGTCACAGGCCGGGTTTCCCTTTCCTGAGTCTGAGCTGCTCCTCTGTTTCTTTCTTCTCGGGTCTTAGGCAGATGTGACTTGTCGTCTTGTGTGCATATTTAATTCCTTCAGAGCTGTTTAACCGTGGAGTACCTCAGTGGTGCCGAGCATCTGCTCTGTGATGGGACTCTTTGGTGCATTTATCCCTCCCCATGCAAAGAGCAAAGACTAGAGTGTCATGTAAATTTGATGGCAGCCTCCACTGTTGTTGCTGGCACCCAGGGACTGCAAAAAAGTGAAAAATAGGTCCTCTCCTCCACCTGTTTTCTCTGTATGTTTGAAATATAAATGAGCTCCACTTTATGCCTGATTTTATAGTCTGTTTAATGTGACTGCCTCAGTGACTGGATGAAATGGTTTTTTGTTAATCAAGTCAGAAGGATTATGGCTAAGCAAGTTGCCTGTGTCAGTGAGGGAGCTAATTAGGCCAGGTTTAGTGATGTAATAACTTTGTAGTTCCACTTTCTTTGTTGAAGTGGGCTGTGCAACTAATTTTTATGTCAACGTGTGTCTTTGTATTCTTGTTTTTCAGAAACCTGCTGGACAGAGACACGTTCTCCAAGTCTGATCCAAGTAAGCTTGTCTCCCATCAATCACACACACCAGCTCCCAGCAGACCAAACACACATACAGGCACGTGCACATTAAATTCTGCAAACAGAAATAGCCACAGACAAACATCCACCACATGCAGGCAGATTTTAGATGTACAAACACAGGCTTGAATGCACATGGACACACACACACTCACACTCTGCCTCGCCTGTGTGAATCAGTACACATTTGCATATGTCGGGGGTCGTATTCGTCACTGTTCTCTGCTCCCAACGTGAGTGAGGGGAACCAGATCATCCTCACACAAACCATTCAGTTGTCTTCTACAGATTAAAGGCCACTCACACAGACATGTACTGTACACACTCCTTACTCCTTTGACAGCAGGGGTTCAATTTGGCACTTGGTCCAGTGGTTTTTAAAGGCCCAGTCTGTAAAAATGAAGAGTTCTCATTTTTGAGAATCGGTTTGTGTTTAGCTAACATGTAAACAGTGGGGCTGGGTATCAAACCTTAATTCTCTTTTGACAACCTCTTTGCTGATCAGCCAGAAACTTAACCTCTTTCTTCTAAGTGGGAAGGAAAAAGAGAGCGCCCACCTTCACTGCAGAGTGAGACATTATGTTCATAAAACATTACATACATAAGCTTTCATTTTTTATGCAGCCAGGTAGAACATTGAGGTCGGTCCGTAGCACCTCTTTCCTGACCACCTTACCTACAGTATGCCTGTCAAGCAAATCGTGGAAGATGGCAAGCTATGATTGGTTGGAATCGTCTAATCTGACACAGTGACCAACTCAAAAGGGAAAAACATTGTACAGTCTGATCCTGGGATTATTCTTTAGTCAATCATTTCTGGCCAATCAGGCCAATTTTAGATTTTGATTTAGGCATGGAATGGCTGCTTGTGTTTAGACATTTAGCATTTATGAATATAGAGAGAAAGATTATAGTCCTTATATTAGTAGAAATTGAAAAAGGTGTTGTTCAGGTGTTGGTACCAAAACTCTCTTATCTTGTCAGTCTGATTGTTGAAAGTGAAACCAAGCCTGACTAAATGCTGCTCCTCTCATACGTAGACAAGCACACGTGCACACAAGCTTGAAGATTGTAGAGTAGTTCCTTGTTGTTTTTGTCATGCCTGCTTTGTTTCCTGTAACAGACTGTGACAGTCCTGTCTTTTAAAAGTCTTCTAAAAATAAACATGAAGAAAATAGTTTCAGTTATGATGAATGATAGATTTGAGATATATATATATATATACACACACACACAAGGGTTTGGTTAGCATGATTTTTTTTCCAGCATCCCCTTGTTCCATTACCTAAGCATTCAGCACTTTGCCACCTGGGTGCTGCACAGCGAACCCAGTGGTGGTTTTAGCATTGGTCGGTGTGTATGAACACATAATTGATGAGCTCCCAGAATTGCGAATTGGACCTTTTAAGTGTCAGGCGGTGGGAGAGGAGGATGAGCATCCCTGCCCGCCCCAACATTTATGCAAGGAGGCACTTGTGCTGCGTCCATGTCTCTGCTCTGCTGACAGCACTGGCCCCAGTCACACAGCATTAGAGCGCCTCAGCAGAGCCACACACACACACACACACACACACACACAGTGCACGCATTCAGGGCCTCAGGCAGGCTCATGCACCATATTCATATTAGCTTATAAAGCTGGACAACAATCCATTTTTTCTGTTTTGTGCATGTTTGCGTGTGTTTATATGAGTGTGTATTTTAGCTGTTGTTCCTGTGGTGCAGGAATGTGGATTTGCTTTGATCAGTGTTCTTCAGCAGTTTGGGAAAGGGCATTTAGCAGACATGAACAATATCTAAGTATGCACTGTCAGTATCTCCTACATTCAAAACAGAGATGGTGTTAGCGGTGTTATTGTCAAGCTCCTTCCCTCATCATCAGCATGATGAATAGGAAGAGCTGAAAGTGTGTCAGTATGGATGGTGAGGATGCATCCTTATTTACAGGTGTGTGATTGATGTATTGCTTTCCCCCCACGCACAATAACGCAATGACCATGTGTCATCCCATGCTTCATTGCAAGATTAAAGGATGACTGTATATTCAAACAGCTGAGCCCTGGCACTCTGAACACTATCCACCATGCAACATATACAACAACCAGACTGACAGTTGGACATCGCAAGTTTAAGCACTTCTGGCACCAGATGCAGGGTAATTAGGACATTTTTTTCTTTGGATTTGCACTTCAAAACAGTGTGACATTTTCAACACAGCTGTGAGTCTGCAAAAATTCCCTTTGTAATAATTTTGTGTATTCTAAAAGATGAAATCTTAGTTTTTTGGTGGTGGAAATGGAATTCATCAGATAGGCTCAGTGATGATTTTCACTCACAGTCACAACTGTTAATGAATCCATAATTAAATCAGTCATTTCATCAGTTGATGGTAGCTCATACATTAACTCAGACATAAATTTACAATTAATTTATTCTGTAATTAATGATAATGCATGTCACCTCAGTGGAAGGTGTCATCTTCATAATCAGATGTCACAAGATTAAGTTTTTTTATTTAGTGTCTGATTGTCTTTGTGTAATTTTTTCTGTGGGCGTCCCTGCTGACAAGACCTTTTATGTTATGCTAGTTTTTATGCTGCAATAAAATAGTCTCACCTTTTGACTTAAATAAGCCTCTGTCCTGTAGATAAGATGTTAATTTCTGTCTTCATCCCTGAAGCTTTTCAAAGTTCAGATCTTTTTAATTTTGTACACAAACAGCAGGTTTGAACGGCATCAAGTCAGAAGTAACACTGTGATTATTATTACTCTTTTTGTGAAGGCAGTATAACTATAAATCATACATGGTAGTTGGGTTTACATATATTTCATAACCTTTGTGGCTGTTCAATGGAAACGTTGCTGAAAATCACATTTATGAGCAATCACAAAGCCTATAATGCTTTTTTTAAAAAAGAGTTTTCACTAGACTTGGTCAGTCTTCACTACTCCCTTTTGGCTAAACACCATTTATGAGGACAATATAATTCAGTTTTTTTCCAAGACAGAAATCATTCACTTCAGTATAACCGAACAATATAATAACAATATAATAACACTCTATATAGATGCAACATTTAAAGTATTGAACAAGCACACGTCAACTAACCAAGCATATATCCAACGTAGTGTCCAGTGTTGTTTCTTGACAACTGACACACGACTTTATATAGACTCCCACATAGATGTCTTAATAAATTATTTATAAAGTGAACGGGGGACTTCCTGCCATGTGACGGATGTGTGTGAAAACAGTGAAGGCTGCTAGAATACTAATGTAATTTTCCTCCGTCATTTCTCACCGCTGTTATTCCCTCAGACAAAATGTACTAATACGACACATGTTGTACTGTAGAATTCATTAACACTGAGCCTTATGGCTATACCAGCCATTTACAGGCCACAGCATACATCGGTTGACAATGCCAAAGGTTTAGGCTTTACCTAAACCCCAGGGAGTCCAATTCATCCATTGCATCATGCAACTGTGCACTAACAATAGCTACTTCAGTTCATTCAAGTTAAAGAAATAGTTGGACATTTGTAGAAATGCACTTATACACCTGCATCTACGTGGGTTCTCTCAGGGTGCTCCGGCTTCCTCCCACAGTCCAAAGACATGCGGACTAGGTTCATTGGTAGGTGTGAGTGTGACTGGTTGTCTGTCTGTGTGGCTCTGCGATGGATTGGCGACCTGTCCAGGGTGTACCCCGCCTTTCGCCCGATGTCAGCTGGGATTGGCTCCAGCCCGCTGCGACCCTGTACACAGGATAAACGGTTGACGATGGATGGATGGCACTTATTCACTTTTTAACCCAGAGTTAAAGGAGAAGATTGATCCAACTCGTATGACTGTACGGTAAATATGAAGGTCCCGCCATCAGCCAGTTAACCCATAAGCATAGCACAAAGACTGAGAACTAGTTTGGCTCTGTCCAAAGGTAACAAAATCTGCCTATACCAGCACCTAGTACGCTACGACAAGGACAGACAGAGGTTGTTGTTGTGGCCTTTTAGAGTTAGGGATTATTGTTGCTCAGGTGGAATGACTTGGAAACAGGTTGCTCTGCCTTCCTCATGAGGTGTATTTTGTTATGCTTTAATTTAGTAAATATCCACTTAGTAAATACTTAGGCTTAAGTTTTAACTGCTGGTGCAAGCAGCGCTTGGTAATTACTACAAACTCCAGTTTACCAAACAGGCATATGTATATTACCTTTATTAAATCAGATAATATCATTTAGATCAAGATCTCTTTTGCAGGAGAGACCTCGGACAGCAGAAGAAATAAGAGAGATAAGACGCACAAGAAAACATAATAACATACTGTATTTTGTCACAACACAAATATCCAAAACATACAGAATATTCTGTTGACTTTCGCCAGGAATATGTGGTTCAATTTGAAAGATTTTAAAGAATGTCTTACATTAGCATTTCCACGGTTCCACTACTTATGTTTTTATTATATAAACACTTTACCAGTTAAAAGTGATTTCCAAGTGTCTGGTCCCAGGGGTTTTCAGAGTTGTGAGTTGCTGCCATGTGACAGATGTGTGTGTGAATACAGTAAAGGCTACTAGAATGCAAATGAAATGTCATTTTAGTGCCAGCTGATTGCCTAGCTGTGTTTTCACTAGTGGTCCGTCATCGAATGGAGATGCTCGAATGTCAATAAGGAGGACTTTCCTCCACCCACACAAACACTCACTAACCCCATCCTCCCCCTCCCTCTCTCCTCTCCCCCTCTCTGAAATATCATCATGCTGCAAGGCAAAGTTCTAGTGACATTTAATTAGGGAGTTTTCCTCTCATGTTGGGGTCCAGGGAAAGAACACGCTCTCAGCTGACTTCTCAACGTTGTTTGTTCACTGTTAAATACTCTTCAATCAGTCTAATCCTTTCTTGTGTCTCTCCCCTCCTCTGTTTCTAATGCAACAGTTTGTGTGCTGTACACTCAAGGAATAGCCAACAGGGAATGGAGAGAGGTGAGTACAGGGGTGGAGGAATAATTTATAACCAGTGAATACTTCCAAGGAGGTTAAATGGCGGCAATGCAGCATTTCAAGCCATATTGAAGGAATACAATGAGCTTTCTTTTTTTTTTTTTTTTTTTTGTCTTCAGAAATGCTGGGTTAAGCCTTTTTGATCAATGTGTTGGCTTGTATTTATCACATTTAACCCAGCTCATTCTTGTTGTTTTGTTTATTATTTTTGAGCAACTTAGCAGTCACGCACAGGCATTTACTTTCAGAAAGTGTAGAAATGTTTAATGACATTCATGTCAAAAAGAGATTAAATCCTGTTAGTTCCTGGTAAGTATTAGCCAACTCGGACCCAAGTTCTCCAAATTAAATTTATTGTTTATTTATTGTGTTATTCGGGTCGTCTGACAATCTGTCTCTTTCAGATCAGAGTCCATTTCACAAAAGCAATTTGTAAGTACTGTTTATCGGCAGATCACAAATAGTTTACATTTACTGTCTGTTTTACACTGTGTTGCCGAAAGGGCAAATTTCCATATCCTGTAATGTAATGGATAAGAAAGGTTTCTGTCTTACCCTATCTTGATTGTAGTTTGCAGATTGCTGATTAATTTGCAACAGAGTTCTGGCATGCTTGTACATGGGTCACAAGCATTGTCTTAACTAGTGAAACATGCCAAAATGAACTAGAGAAAGTGATCTCACATTGCAAATTGCAGCTTGCATATTGTAAATGTTGTGAAATGGGCTCCAAGTATCATTTGATTCATAAGTTTTTCCATGGGTCCATTTTTAGATTTGGGACCTATGAAGTCCCAATGTCCTACTGGCTAAGGCAATATCACTCAGACTGGCCAACTCAAACTGTTAAATAAGTGTCAAATGATCAAAACATATCAGCCCTGTAAAGCTGTGATGTTCATTCATTTATATGTTACATACATTAAACAGGTTTATCCTGCAGTGGAAGCTCTCGGACTCAGATTTAGAAAACATTGAACCAAAACACTTTGACACTGTGTCAACAGCACAAAGCTATGACAGGACTGTAGTCCTGGATTGTATTACATTTTACAGGGCTTTTACTTTTCTGGTGTCTGGTGTTTTCTGTTTGTTGAATGAGTCTTACAACCAGTAATCACACATCACCTATTTCATTTCTCTTCCAGTTTGGCAGAACAGAAGTCATAGACAACACCCTCAACCCTGACTTTGTCCGCAAATTCATCCTGGACTACTTCTTTGAGGAGAGGCAGAATCTACGCTTTGACCTGTGAGTTAACGATTGACTTATGCGTGTTGGTGCGTGTGTGTTTGTTTTTGTGTATTTGTGTGCTGTGCAGCCGTGGGTGAGAGTGCTGCTTTGTGTGGAGCAAAGTTGAGCTAAGACTGAAATATTCATGGTCTGCGCAGAGGGAGATGTAAGTCTTCTCCCTTTTAAATAAAAGACAAGTTTTTATGCCACTTTTCCACCAGCATTTCCATTTGAATTCATCCCACTCGTACAATACTTTGAGACAAAAGAGGGCCAAGTGCACACAGTGAATCAAACACTTGGCATTTTATGATCCATTTTCAGTATTGGTCATTTCACCTCGGTATCCTTTGAAAAGGCAAGTTTGTCCTCACAGAAGTATATTAATGGGATCATAAAGCTAATTTCCTGCAAAGTCTATTGATTTTAAAGCGATCATGACTCTTAACTAGTGCCTCAATCCATTTATTACATTTTTGTAAAAAGTGTTTAATTAAAATGTTTTCAACATTATTTTGTTTTATAAATTTGAATCATGTTAAAGGACCTCCTTTCAACAGCAGATGCAGGAGATTGCTTGGTCTTAATCCATTTAGACCTAAGTGCATCTTTTGACACAGTTGATCATACAATTTTAATTGACTGCCTTAAGCGTGTGGGTGGCTATCTCTGGGTCAGCACAGAGTTTTCTCACACTATACCACTCAAATCGATGCTCTGTTTAAACAGGAGATTCTTGAGCTACCACAGCCGATAACAAACACCTCTGGGGTCCCTCAGATCTCATTTTGAATCCCCATCAAGTTCTCGCTCTTCATGCTTTTTTACTTTGTAGCATCAGTTGTTAACATAATTTGCAATGTGTATTTTCATTAATATTGAGAATATTCACAGTTGTATCAGTTTGTGACGGACAAGGCAACAACTCAACACTTTTAAAAAGCACATGAATATCAAGAGTTGGATGTTCCTAAACTTTCTAACCCTCAAAAGGACCTCCTGACTCCTGAATTTGATCTCACAAGTTTTGGTACTCCTCCATCTAGTGACACAGTAGTGACTTTTTAAGGTCATACTGCACTTTTGACCTATAGTCAGAGACATGTTGAGGAATTGACTATTTACAGCAAATGGCTATGCAGTTAGATGCGGCAGAGAAGGCTCTCTGCTCTTTGAGGGAGCCCTCAAAGAATCTGAGCAGCAGCGAGCATGCGATGAGATTGACATGAAGTTCGAACATTGTCCTGTTTGGTTCGTTAGATTCAGGTGTCTTTGAGACTGACAGATTTCCAAATGCATTCTGATGTATGACATTTAAGCAATTATCGTGGCTAATAATAGGATATTTATATGTTCTCTTGTCCACATCAGATACACCTGTATTTTAAGCCACGATGCTGTTGAAAGTTAAATTTCCTCATGTAGCCCTAAAAGTCGAGCTGTCCAAGTAATTATGGTAATGTGGATTTTTCTCTATTGTGTTCCAGCCTCACACATATTCACTGTAGTTTCCCATGATAGCTTATGAAATATGGAATGACTCTTTTGTTTGTTTACTTGTTGGCCTGTCAGCAGTGCCACATGCTGCTAATAAGCTGTGGGAGGTTACAGTGAAGGTCAAGGAGAGACGCTAGCTGTTGTTCCAGCGTCGGTGTGTGTAAGCAGTGCATTGTATTTAAGTTATAAATACAGTCTGGGTCAGACAATGTGTGTGTGTGGATACGTTTAGGCACGTAAGCATGTGTGTTCAGGTTTTTGTTTGTACTTTTGGGTGACAGTGTGTGTATATATAGAGGTGTGTGTGTGTGTGTGTGTGTGTGCATCTGAGCATATGTGTGTTTGGACATTTTATTTAAGGACGTGTGTACGTTTTTATTTCTGTGCATGATGTGAGCATGCCTGTTCAGCGTTTTGTGTGCTTGGCAAAGCAAATATGAATAATTGGTGTGATATTTTAGATGTGTGAGTTTGTGTATGGTTTTATTGTGTGTGTGTGTGTGTGTGTGTGTGTGTGTGTGTGTGTGTGTGTCTCACCATCTGCTTACATTCCTGTATAATAGAGGAATGTAGTGCAGACTTTGCCAGAGTATCATGCAAGATGGTAAAAGCTGACAAGCAGTAGGGAGAGGAGATGGAGGATGATGGAGCGTGTGCCTGTGAGAGTGTGTGTGTGTGTGTGTGTGTGTGTGTGTGTGTGTGTGTGTGTGTGGCCTGGCCGACTTACTGCAGGGCTCGTTGTGAGTGGGTGAACATCAGCCCCCCCCCCCCCCCCCCCCCGTTACTGTCCTCTGGGCTGATGGCCCTACTATGCCTTGCAGCGAGTCACACATACATACACATCCTTGCCCTCAGAACAAGAAAAAATCCCCCCAAAGACACACGCTTGCTCAAACACAGACACACATTTATACATTGCTACTCAGGTATTCTTTTGCATTCATGTTAAGCTGTAACATGAATGTACGCACACACATTTCTCAGATTTCTCATTACAGATGTAGTGGTTACTCCTGCACACTTCAGCCTCTGTCCTGAGGTCTGGAAGTCTTTTTACTGTTGCTCCTGCAGCTCCCACATGCCCTTCATTACCTCCAACCTCCCTCACTTCCACTCAGCGCTTCACATCCCTTCAGGACATCCATACAGCCAGATAGCACCGAGCTCCCTGCAAACCGCCAGTATAGCTGCTGCTGAACCATCCCACATTCTCTTTACCCGAAGACCCCAAAGCCACAACACACTTTGCTCCCTCTGTTGCTATCAGTGCCTGGAAATCCTGTTAAACCTCATGTCACTGCTGGCCATGTTCAGTGCTCTTCTTTGCTCATTTTTTTGGGGGGGAATTGAAACTTGAGATGCTCACTGACGCCAGTGGAAGCCCCTGGCTGGATGGTTGTCTAATCAAATGTGGCAAATTGGATCAGACCTCAAAAAATGAAGTGAAATACCCTCCCAAAAGGAACAGAAGAAGGATATGTAATCACATCTCTGAAATTATTTGCTGTAACATAAGAAGCCACTCTTTCATGATACCACAGAATCAGTTGATGCAAGTGAAAACAAGTGTAAAACAGCAAACATTCAATTTGTGCGTGAAATTATTGAGAAACCAAAAGGAATCACAGAATACCTCTCCATTTCTGGAAAAATGGTGATGGAGCAGTGGATAAGACACATGCCCTTGGTGTGAGAGACCTGGGTTCAATTTCCTACTGTGACATCCACCAATGTGTCCCTGAGCAAGACACTTAACCCCTAGTTGCTCCAGAGGCGTGCGACCTCTGACATATGTAGCAATTGTTAATCGCTTTGGATAAAAGCATCAGCTACATGAATAAATGTAATGTAAAAATGAACTTTCTGCTGAAAATAAAAGTTTTTGTTTTTGTGTCTCCTTCCTTGCCAAAGGTTATAGACCACAAATACAGCCAAGATCCAAAAAGAACCAGCAGAATCAGAAGCAATGAAATCTAAACCCAGTACACAGCCATCATTTTTTTTGGCTGTGTACTTTTTAAATGTATTTCAATTAACAGATTTTCCACAATTCAAATGTAAATTGACATAATAAATGGTTAATTTACATTTAAGTCTGACACTTGTTTTAAATAAAAGTGAGTTGATTAAAATTATTAAAGGAATCCTACAATTCAAGAATGCATGCTTAGGTATCAACAAAACACATTTTTTCATGTCCCTCATGGAAATATTCATTACATTACATTTCACGGATGTGTTTTCCAAAGTGACATACAATAAGAGGAGTCAAAGTCACAGCTATATAACTTAAAAATCCATTATTTCCTTCCTTTTATAGCTGGAATGTAAAATACCACATTCAGAATAATCTGTCAGGACTAGGGATGGGGATCGAGATCCGGTTCCAAAAGGACCCGGTTCCAAAATTTCTCAAAACCCGAAAATCAATAAGGTTCGAGCTTATCGATACTGATATCGAGACTTGCGGGTCCAATGATGTAACGTTAAGTCTTGAGCGTCAAAACTAATTTAATGTGAAACGCAATGGATAAGAAAATCATCAGGCTGCAGTCTCTGCCTGCTCTCTGTGGGCTCCTACACACACACCGCGGCAGCAGCAGAGCGAGAGGCTGCGCCGTCGCGCTGGAATACAGTGAGGGTTAAGTTAGCTCCAAACTACTGTAACGTTAGTTGATGACAGCTACGCTTGTTACTGTAAGAACGTGCAATAAAACCTTTGCAAGTAAAAAGACAATACTTTATCAATAAACCTGTCTGTAAGGTAACGTTAAACATGTAGAAATGGTTAATTAAATCATCTCTGTCCTCAGTATCTCATCCTGTATGTTTTATTACAACGCTAGCTTGGCATTAGCCAAATGTCAAAAACAAGCTAAATAGACAGCTGACTGTCTGGAGCATAGACTGGTCTGTTGTCTTAAAAACTCAGCTGCTGGCTGAGACAAACCAGCCGCTCCTCCTTCTACCTGGTAACCTTACCTGCAGCCAGGAGAGACGAGGAGGGACTGATGGTCTTTCTAAACGTCACTCACTACTTGTGATGTCAGATAAAGTTATTGAGTTACTTTGCTGTTGTCTAGAAACAACATTTAGCTGTATTTAAAATATTAAATTAAAAACAACCAGGCAGTTAATATGTACACTTGTATATATGTTTATTTATCGCAAGTGATATGTCATCTTAATATATAATGTTATGGCACATTGAATATTTTCCTCATACCGTGCAGGCCTACCTCATGCCAGTTAGGTCTGGTCTTACCAAATAACCATCACTAAATAATAGTAAAGTATCGATAGTGGTATCGCTAAAAAATCGGATTGTTAAGCAGTCTCAATAAGGGTATCGATATCAATAAAAATTATGATCCCCATCCCTAGACAGGACCAATTACAGCACCGAATATGTGCTAATAACACATTTCTGTAACATCTTGCATCAGTCAGTATGAAGGCTTTATGAAGGTTTCATAAAAACTATTGGAAATGGAGCTCAAGTGTCAGTATGCTGTCGTCTGTTGTTTGCCGGTCCTGTTTGTTTGTGTGCCATCATTAGTCATCGTTGCTCAGTTCAAAATGAGCTCTGAGCTCCCCTGCCCCCCACCCCACCCCCGCGCAGACAGCACCAGAGCAAGAGAAATCCTGTCTAGCCCAGTGCCGATGCAGAGTGATGTCATCCACATAAACACACACACATCCAGTCACACAAAGAAAATGTGCACTCACGAGGTGCCGTGGGACATCTACTCCTGCAAACACTCTCGTGTGTGTTTGCAGGTGTGTGTGTGTGTGTGTGTGTGTGTGTGTGTGTGAACATGTGCAGCCAAGCCATCATACATATAAACAGTAGTATGCCCCCCGATCTCACTCTTTCTCTTGCTCTCTCTCTCTCTCTCTCTCTCTCTCTCTGTCTTTTGGTCTCTCATTATTAAATAACATTTAATGAATCATTTATGAACATTTGGGAGTGACAGAGGCAAGAGGCGAACAGAACATGAAGCGCACCTGTGCATTTTGCCGGAGGCATGTTGTGTAACAGCAGCAAGTTGTGTTTCCTAGCTCTTATGGAATAACATTAGTTACAGCACTGTATTGAAGCACCACCACCCCCCCCCCCCCCCCCCCCCCCCCCACCCCTCTGTAGTGACACACAGCGTCTCCCCGTTTTGTCAGCTGGCGCCTTATCGTACATGGCATGCTGTCTGTAGAAAGAAACACTCAGGCTCTCCCATTTACACACTCCGCTGCATGCTGCTGCACACACACCATGCACATATTGACACACACCTGAGACACAGAGGAAGGTGACAGGTTATGGGAAGTAAATAAAGCTGGATAAATTGCTCTCCAGAGTGGCGAGTGGATGACATGGTCTGCACAAATGTAGCATTTACTTATTGTTTTGGATGAATGTTCCTGCATTAGGAAGGACAAGTATGTCAGCCAGAGAGGAGCTATGATTTCTGAATCCTTATACCAAGTATTTTGTAAACCCAGCAGAGCTGTGATCTACAAAATCCACTGCTTTTCAGAAAAACAACTATTCAAATTCAAATTGGCAACTATAAGCTTAGTGGATAACAAGAGAACATTTTGCATGCTTTAAATGGAATTACATATGAGAGTCCTAAATATGTGAAAAAAAGTTGCATAAAGTGGCTTATGCAGTGGCTGACCTTTTGTGGCTCCGGAGGAATCTGTGAAATCTGATAAACTGCCTCAAGTAATGTAACTTGAGTTATCGTTGGTTGGGGCTGAAGACGAAGTTCTAAAATGAGAATCTTGTTTTTTGGGGGTATGGAGTTAGAGAGAAGTGAGCTTACCAGACCCCTGTATCTTGCTGTTCATATCAGCTGCAGGCTAGCGGCTCTAGGCTATATTAGCCACTATTAGCATAACACACCCAAATCTCCAACTGAAGTAGCAGTGGCTGGCAGTTGAGTTGCATTGTGGGTAATGTAATGGTGCTTTGACACCTAACCTGTTAAAACAAACCCTGGTGCGTTTTCTCAGTTAGTACGGTTTGTTTGGGCTGATGTGAAAGCTGTAAAGCGGGCTCTGGTGCAATTTGCTTGTGATGTGAAAGTAAATGAACCAACCACATGATTTTAGCGTTTAGTGAGTTCTAGCATTATTTTAAAAGGTGGACTACTAATAAATCCATCCATCCATCATGAAATGGAATTGTATAAGCCATATATTTATGCAAATCCCACAGTAAAAAGCCCCAAATCATTACTGTACAAGACTCCTCTTTGTCCTGTTTCTCATCATTATTAATAACAGCCGGTCGATTTGCAGTCTAATAATACTAATGCTTATACTCAATTATTTATTTGTGAGCTCTTTGTGACATCAAAGAACATAAATATACACATCAGATGCACTAAAGAGCTGCATAAACTGACCAGAATTTGATTTCCCATGTGGGATGATGTGTTGATGATGCAGGACGACAATCACCAAAACTATTCAGTCAATCAGTGTGTATAACTTCATGTTTATTTTCTCTCGGTTTGTTTGTGGAAAGTCAGTGTGAACAGGAACCCCAGAACATAAATGCAAGTAGTGTAATGTCATTTTGGGCCTTGGTCTGGACTGAATGAACCGAATTCCAGGTGTAAAAGCACCCTAAATGCCAGGTTTGACAAGGAAGAAGAATGCCTGAAACAAAAAAGATGATATTTCTGGTTGTGCTTCATTGATTTTGATCTTTTTTTCTTAACTGTCCTTGTGAGTTAGACAATGTAAGTTGAGTGCAATGGAGTTAATATAAATAATTCCTCCCATGTTTTGTCAAAATTGAATGACTCTCTTACACTGCTTGCCACAGATGGATGGATGAGTAAATAATGTAGTGACTGTCTTTCGCTGCTTTCAGTTTTGGCGAGGTAGTGTTTGACACGAAGCGCACCACTTAATCCTACAAAGCAGCAAACTAAGATGCTATGTCCTGCATTGCATTGTAAACAATCAGAATATATATTTTCTGACTACCTAGTGCTCACGTGCGTAAGATTTTTGTATCCAAGAGCATAGAATTGCATAACTGAGAATTCAGAGATGCGCAAAATTTACTCTTCCATTATTCTCTACAGTAAAATTTTCACTGTTATAATTTCCGCCTGAATCCCATTGGACTCACATTGTAGAGGTCATTATATTTGGCGTTTCGCCATGACTGGCTCTTGCTGTTGGAAATAATGGCCTTGTTCTGCTCAATTTCAAACTTGAGAAGTTGCAATGAAAGCTCTTTTGCTATGTTGACTCCTACAAGGACTTTGACTCCCCTTGTCAGCAGCTCTCAAAGTACTCTGTACAATGTACACAATGCTGAGAACAAATGTACAGTAAGTTCTCAACAAAGACAACATAGCTAAACAAAGGTAAGCAGGTATTATGTATAGATGAGTAGATATAAAAATAGATAAACAACAACTAGACAGCAAACACACAATATCTTTATACAGGTGCGATATGCAGCTGAAATAGGTGTTTCCCAGTTTGAGGGCAGCAAACTCCCAAAGCTAATTGATTTGTAGTGTTTATATGTGCAAACATGCTAACGGTTTGACACGACGGTGTCTTCATCAGAGCCAAAATGGACATTTTGAGCTGCAAATCAAGCAGTGTGCTCCAGGCCCTTTTCTTTTTTCTTTTTTTTAATACCTTGGATGTAAACCACCCAATACTGCCATTGTGAATTAAATGTCAACTCAAAAACAACTGCTACTAAAACATAACTACTTCAAATTGTAAAATGGAATACTTGACAAGTTAAGCGTTAAGATTTTTGCCAGACAGTCATTAACGATTCTGAGGACACTAATATTGTTGTACCCTCATGCATGAAATCGGATCAGTAAAGCTTTTGGTGCCGTAATCACAAGCCTACTTTAAACCTGAACAGTGTCTTTGCAGTGATTAGCAGAGAAGTGCCTTGCATTAATAGTAGGTGATGAGAGAGAGTAAATTTTGAAATGGACTACTAATTTGTTTTCTGGTAGCCTTTCAGTCACAGACCCACTGCTCAAACCTTTCAGCCTATCACGACCCCCGCTCTGATGTGTCATCTCTTCTCTTCTCTGCAGGTATGATTTAGACTGCAAGAGTGACAACCTCTCTAAACACGTGAGTGTCTCCTTCACCTCAGATGTTCAACAATCAATGATGCATTCATGGAGATATTATACAGCCAAATGTTTACCATTCCAGTACAATAGCATCTTGATTTGAATTGGAATGAGCGGCACTACAGGAACAAAGCAATTGTGTTGGCATTTACACTCTCCTAAAGAGGAGACTAAGGATTTTTGTGGCCCATGTAAAAGACATTCATTGAGATTTTACACCACATTTTCTGTCTCTAAGAAATGTTTCTGACTGGCTTCCTTTTTGACTATTTTTCCTTGTGCTTGCCTTTATTTTATTTTTTATCTTTGTGAGATCTGAAGGAAATCTCTGTGATCAGTTTCTTCAAATAGACATTTAATCATCTGTATAGATAAATGTCTGATTTAACAAGTTTTAATTTATAATGAAAAAAAAAAACAGAGAAAAGAAGTAAATACTCACAATCAAAAGCCAACCATGTCTCCCAGAAATTAAATATATTTTCTACTAATTTGTTTTGTCAGTTACGTTTTAGTGGGTAGCGTTATTTCTGCCTGAATCACGTTCACTGACAAATAAGTAAGTAAGTAAGTAAGTAAAATTTATTTATACAGTACTTTTCACAGATAAAATCACAAGGTGCTTCACAATAAAACAACAAAATACAGTTCTAGCTAAACACCAGAAACACATTGACATATGACAGACAACTTTAAAACCAAGCTTAATGTTTAGCAAACGCCTGTTTTTAGCTGCTTTTTAAAAGAAACAACACAGTTTAAGGCGCATAACGAACTGGGGAGTGCATTCCACAAAATGGGACAACAGTTTTTTTCCAGTGACAGAGGTGCAATGTTTTTTAAACAGGGAGGTGGTCAGGGTGGATGGTGGACTTACAAAGTGCAGGACTTTGACACCTTAAGTCCCAAGTGTGGTTTGGTTTAGGCAATAAATGCACATTGGTTAAGGTTTGGAAATGTTATGCAAGTAAACTTGTTTTATCTCGAGCTTTGCGTCACTTTTTTTTTCAATATTTAACTAAGACCACCATCTTTCCCAAACATGAACAAATTGCTCTGAAAAAAACATGAATTATATATTTTTTCATCATTATGTTGATAAAAACCATCCAATTTTTGCTTTATGTTTCCTAAAAAGCCTATTTGCTTTTGCAAATTAATACTATATAAATGTAATTTCTAGGAGACAACTTGGTTTGCTGGTTTGCAGATGTTTGGAACGTTTTCCTAATAAATTACTTTAATGATACAGTTTTTTCTGTTGGCTTGTATAGAGGATTACAAATACACATCTTGCGCTGTGTTGAAAATTATATATTCCATGAAAATAAATTTGACAGGCTTTGTCTAAGTCTAAAATATTACTGTCAGCTTACAGCATTATTAAAAAGATGAGATTATATCAGCTTTGGCATTCCTTATCAGACGTCTGTTTGGTTTTGCTTGTGCTACTTTCAGCAGAACCAAACAGACGAGTGCCGTTTTGCAAACATCCTCCATACCCTCTTGCCACTGCTAATGATGGATTGCAGCTTAAAGTTTCTCCCAAACACAATTCAGCCTGCCTTTCTTGGTCAAGCTCTACCTCCATCTTGTTAAAACCTGTAACTTCAGATTTAGCTGCCCTACAGCCTCATCCTTCACTTTAAGCTCAAACAGAAGCTCCAGCAGCACCCTGCTCCAGTTCTGTCTATAACCAAGGCTCCATCTCCACCCCCAGCCCCCTTCCTATTACCCAGCCTCATATTCATTGCCAACTGCAGGCGGAGTTCGTTTTCCCCAACCCCAGCGTGCCCCCGGGCTTCTACTGAGAGCGCTGAGCAATGTGAGTGTAGCGACTCACTCTCAGCATGAAGGCTGAGGACGCTTGGATGCATCCTGTCGTCGCTGTGGATGTGTGGGATTGGAGATCTGGCACGCAGTGATGGCTCCATTGTCTAAGCAAAGCCCATCCCCAGTCACGTGGCTTAAAGTAACAGAAAAAGTGTGTGTGTGTGGGGGGGGGCGCAAGTACAGTATCTCTCTTGGCAGCTTCAGTGCCGGGGTTTGAGGAAGCCTCCTTCCTTCTGTCACAGCTGATGTTTTTCCTGTGCCATATGGTTTGCATACCTTGTGCAGAGCAGATATGGCTGCAGGGGAAGATGTGCATACAGTTAAGTCTAATTAAGGGGTGTCCTCTTTCTGGATGTTGCTTTTTCATTCTGACAGATGCTTGTCACAGCCCTGTGCACAATTCTTTATTTTGCCTCTGTTGTGCACCAATATCCATTTTAAAAACAGTAATCTCATTTCAAAGCCTTATTCAGTATTTTAAACTCGATGATTAGCAAGTGAATCCAAGCAGGGAAATAGCTTCTTTGTTTGCAGGCAGTAATTAAGTTAACTGGCTGTGTGTTCCCCGACGACTATTTGAAAGCAGTCAGGATTTTACTGCAAACATTTATTCCCCTTATTAAATATATATTGCTGGAAACACTTTTTTTGTGACATTTCCATCTTTATTAGACTGATCAAAGTTGTGGGCCAGAATTGCCCGACTGCACCAGTGGACAGTGAATCCCAACTGGGTTCAGGACCCCTCCAAGGGATCTGAAGATAAATCTGTGAAGTGTTGTGAGATGATGCTCTACAAATGTAATTATTTTAGGCTTTTCTCTAATCTTTTTCTTTTTTTTGTTGTGAAATGCTGAGTAGTTTTAGTTCCCTATTTAAATGAAACAAAGAAGTTTAGAGGACTAAAAACACCCTTAGGTGGAACTATTCGCAACACAGACATATACTTTATGCATCCTGTAATGAGAGGTAGTAGCTTTATTTGCTTTAACTGCTTTATTTTATGAGGTTAAAAGCCAAAGGTAGTTTTGGTATTGGTCAACATACACATTGGTCCTGTTTGGGAAATGCAGGACAACGTTTGACAGCTACAGTGATTTCCAAAGGACTACTTTCTCTCTTAATTTTTGGTCAGACTCAAAGTGAAGTGGTTATTTCTGTTTGATTTCAGTTTTTTTTTACAGAATAATAAATTCCACGTGTGGAAATTTTCTGTAGATTTTAATACTTTTAGGGTTTTATATTTATTATATAATATTATAGTCTTACTCTTTTTATTATTCACAAATTGTCATTGTAACCAACAGTCATAATTGACAAAAATATAAGAATCAGACTCATGTTAGCAAATAGTGGAACTTCCCTTTTTACTTCAGTAAGGAAAGTAGGACTTGAGCTGTGATATTTATTTGGAGATACCCTCCAAACCTTTTTTTTCCTGCCACCACTGAGCCTGTTAATCTGCAGCACCTTGGCCTCTAGCCTTAGATTTCTGAGGCATAACAAGCACTGAGCTGGGTCTGCTAGCTAGCGGCAAACTTCTTATGGAAAGGCCAGAGCTTTTTTGTCATCTCTTTTTGTTTCAAGACCTCGGCTGGGGGAGAAATTAGCTTTGCAACGGCAAAGATCTTTGGAGCAGCTTTATGCCCGCCAGACTCAACACGGCTCATCTGTCAAGCACTTTTACGCACATACTGTACATGTACATGCACACTTAGTTACGCACACATGCATACACAATCTGGTAGGGAAGGCCTCAGCATCAGTGCGTGAACAATTATTCCTTGCCTGTTGTAAACAGAATATTTTTTTCCCGCCTCTCTCTCCTCTCTACTTTGCTCTTCTTGCTAGCCAAAGGCTCCTCCTCCCCAAAATGAATCCTCTCTTATGGTCACCCTACAGTGATCAACAAGGACACAGGATACATGGAAAAGAGAAAGGCCATTCAGTGCCAGTGCCTTGATTGACTCAAAAATTGTGATGAAAAGCAGGCTACAACGAACGTTTATTTTCAATACATGTTAAACTGCTGATTAAATTCTCTATCGATAAATCACTTTGTTTATAAGATGTAAGAAAAATGTGAAAAATACCCATTATAGTTTCTCAGAGCCCAAGATGACTGACGAAAATCCCAAGAATATTTGGTTGACATTTTATTCAGTTGTTTTTCATATACGACAAAGAAAATAATCAAATCATCACATTTGACAACCTGGAAACAGAGAATGCATGTATTTTTGCTTCGGTTGCTTATTGATTAGTGGATAGAAGAAACATTTCAAAATGAGCTCAGTTAAAAAACATTGTCAGGTTATTTTACAATTTCTCCACCTAGGGAAACTTACTTTATACTGTTTTTGCTATAGCAGAGTGAAGCATGGTGCGTTTGGAAAACTTTTGGAACTTTATATGCCAAATACAAAAATATCCAGAACATCTTGATGAATGTTTCTCTCTGCAACTTATAGCCCTGCTCTTCAAACTCTTTTTTTTATTTCTGTTTCATGGGTTTACTTGTATATTTTTCACACAGGACTTCCTTGGCCAGGCGTTCTGTACGCTAGGTGAGATAGTCGGCTCCCTGGGAAGCCGCTTGGAAAAACCTTTGATGTAAGTAGCACACGTTACCATGCACACACATGCACCAACAAACCTGCTCACTGCTCTTCTAATTGAAAGTAAAGAGGCAAAAGGCTTGTATTGAATTACTCCAATCAGAGAGCCACCACCGGTGGCACAAAAAGCTGTTTGGACTTGCGTTTTGATTTTAGATTCTGTTCTGTTTAATGGCATGAATTGAAAATCAGCACATTATTTTAAGTTCACTTGCCACTGTTTGTCTTTGAAGTGAAGCGAAGCAGGGGATGAAAATGAGCCAAGATGTTGATGAAAGCGTACACTGTCTCCGTCAGCCAAATGAGATGAATAGTTAAACAGCAGCATAACTAATGACAGACTGTAAACATGTTGCGATGGTAAACAGCGTGTAGTGAAAACGGACAGTTCACCCAAAGGGAAGATGTCAGTGGTGAGCTCCCAGCTCATTTTCTGAAGAAGCCTAAACTGAACTGAAGCCTCAACTGAAGCCTTAAGAAATAATCAGGGACATTTTCATATTAATAAATGTCTTTCTAATTTTTGCTCTCCAATTAGTATAAAAAATAGCGATTAAACATATAACAAGTTCAAAAAAGATGTTTTTCAGTCACTCTCTATGTAATATTGCCAAAAAATTCCACAATCTTCTAAAAACAGCAGTTTGTTTGGCATGAACAGAGGGAGAACTGAATGGTTAGCATGATTGCCTACGTAGCTGAAGCAACAGTAAAGCTAGAATACTTGAATAGTTAATAGTTAATTTTGTACTGTATTGTGTTTATGCAAAGTTCCTATACAGATTATACAGTTGTTTTAAGAGTATATTGAACAGGAAGGATTTTTATAGAAAAATATGTTTATAAACCAGGTACAGGTACTGAAACTCAATTAAGAAAACATGTTAGTGGATTAACATACCATTACATATATACTCTCAGATCTCAAGTATGTATATTTATTCTATGTAAGTATCTATTACATGTAACTATCATGTAAAAAGTAAACAAATTCTATACAATCAGTCAAATATAATTGTCAAGTTATCTCATCAGATATGTGCAGTTTCCCCTCTTGAAAGAAATTGATGAACCTACTCAAATGTTTTTTCCTTTCCCCCCTTTTTTATTTTGGCAGATTCAGCAGTTAATTTTGTCTTGAGTTCCACTAGTGCAATTCATCATCATTTATTTGCTAATCACCATTAGCCTTAAGCAATTAGGTGAAAATATATACTTTTTTCACCCATAAGTGCATAAGCAACATTAGGACATACACATCTATACATTTAAATCCATTATGCCTCAGCATATATATAATTTACTGCACAACATATCGCATAATCTTATTTATACAGTAACATTATAGTGTGCAATCTTTTTAACAGGCCCTGTTCCTCTCAAGCCCATAAAATGCAGCAAGTAAAAGCCTATACAAAACTATTTTTAATTTTGTCTTTAATTATTGCCCCATGCTAGTTAACCCGAATAAAATGAATTATAATTAACATTCACCACTTCTTTTGTTTTTATCACCACACCCAGGCTCCTCCTTGAATAATCAGATTCACATATACAGAACCAACTAACATTAAATACTAAAGTGATAACCCAACCACACAGTTCATCAAATTACTGTGAAGGTAAGCATCTTACTGGCTGTCTCTTCAGACTTTGTAGACATATCCAACCTGCACAGTCTTACCACAGATCATGCCACTGTCATAGCGTTTCTAACAGTATCTCCTTCTCCTGTGTTTTTTCCTGCTCCTTTAACATTTTGTAAAGAATACAACCTTATTTAAGGAAAAGTATTCTCAGCAAACTCATTCGACACCAGTGAAAGATATTGTTGGCCCCCTCACAACAAATATACAAACTGAGGGGAGACATTTTTTTGCTTTAAACCATCAGTGGCTCGACCTCGACCAGGTTCATAAAATGTACAGTTCTTTGTTACACTACACTTATAAACTGAGTTGGAGTTATCTTATGTTATCTCAGCTGCACTGTAACTGTCCTCCAACACACACAGCAGACGTGCAGCATCTTCTTGAGCTTACTGAAAAGAACAATTTGCTTTTGTCTTCCTCCTGAGGCAACGAGCCATCAGTAGTCTGACCCTCACCTCACTCTCACAATATGTGTGTGAGATTGTGTGTGTGTGTGTGTGAGAGAGAGAGAGAGAGAGAGAGAGAGAGAGAGAGACTGTACTGGCGCCTAGTCCCATGACTGTCTGTATGTCTCTGTCTGATACTGTGTGTAAAAGTGTGTGTGTGAGAGAGAGAAGTGATTGTGCTGGCGCCTACACCCATGTCTGTCTTTGTCAGTGTGTGTGTTTGTGTATCGTTGTGTGAATGTGTGTGTGAGAATCAATGAGCGGTTGCAGCTGAATGGGCCTGCTGAATAATGACACGCAAGATATTTATGATGTAAGAATGGGTTGCTGTCGCCGAGTTATGTAATAACCTCTGCCTGCAGTCATTTACTCAGTTCTGGTGTGTGTGTGTGTCCATGCATACTGTACCATTTTTTTTTTTTAGCTACGTGAGGATATTTTTAGATATTCTTTATTATTCTGTAATACAGGTTTGTGTTTGTAAGTTTGTACGAATGCATGTGTGTGTGTGTGTGTGTTTGTGTGTGTCTGTGTTTCAGTACTCGCTCTGCTGCCTCCAAGTGAAACACAAACAAGTCAAAGGGATCACACCTCTACTCAGTCAAGGGGAAGCGGATCACAAAAATAAAAGAGCAACAAAGACAACTGAGATGACAATAAGCTCCAAACACATAAAACATTTTCACTGTATGTCACATTCTGTATATGATATAAATGAACTCCATCATTATCTTTGTTATGTTGCTGCTTTTGGGTTAAATCATTTTCAACAGTAACCAAAGTATTGAAGTACCCAGTTAGCTATTGGCGGATTCGTATCCAAGTGCCCTTTTAGGACTTTTTCAATGGCTTTTTTAACATTGTGAGATAGGGCAGTTTTGCTATTTTCTCGCATTCTCTATTGCACTTATTTTAATGAAAATCATGCATGAGTTATCCATTATAACACTATTGACAGACTGAACGATAAGATTGAACGAGTCTATGTCAGATTCACCCATTCACATACAGTCATATACTGATGGCAGATGCTAAGGTGCCAACTGCTCATCAGAAACAGAAACTACACATTTACACAGTTTGGGCTTCAGTATCTTGCCCTAGGAAACTTCTACAGGGCAACATTTTCTTATATTTCTGCAATATTTCCACATCATTTTAAGGTATTGTTCAGTTCAGGGAAATATTGTCAGTATGGTTAAAAGAAGAAAAAATAACCCACCTAAATTGCAGGTCAGTGACAGGACGTGTCCCCTGCATTTAAGGTGGAATGAGCTCCACCTCCCTACTCCGTACATTGGCTCTAATTGTAGATATTTTTAAACCATGTTTTATGGGCATTTTATACCCCTATTAGAAAGAGTACAATAGAGATGTGACAGGAAATGAGGGAAGAAAGAGGGTGAATGACGTGCATCAAAGGTTTTGGGACAGAATCAAACCGGGGAGGTTTTGATCCGCCATTAGACCCCATATAAGTCTCTATTTGATGTAAATCAAGATTGTCATGTACAAACAAGACACTAGGCTGTCTATAGAGTAACACTCAATGCATTATTTGTGTTCATCGATTGATGCCTGTAGCGCTCACCAGACACATCCTACAGACAGAGAAAGTCATCAAGTACAGTAGCCAGGGATGTGCTGTCGATCCAAGCTGGGAAATAGGACAGTGGCGGATCCTGGCATGTCTACCCCACTGACAGTAAAAACTATGGATAGCAATAAAATACATATGTTAACATATGAAACTTTACATAGTACATATTACACTCAATAACAAACATAAACAAAGAAAACCAGACAATAAACAAAAATTCATGTAAAGAGATTAAAAAGTCTGTCTTGCAAATACAAATCCAGATGCAGATTTGTTATAAAAATGTTATTAAATACAATTTTGAGTATGGTGCAGGCTTGGAGGAGGTCTTTTTATTATTCTACTACACATATATAAGATAATTGATTAGCAGCTCAAAAGAGTATCTCAGCCTAAATACCCATTTCAGTGGAAAACATGCACTGATGCTTTCAGCCTCACTCTCCCTTCACCCAACAGCCTCCCATTCACTCCTCCATCTTTCTAGTGACTCTGTTCTTCCTCTCTTTGCCTCTATCCATCGCTTTCTTGTTCACTCTTTCTCTGCCATTTTCCCATCTGCCCCCTTACTGAGCAATTTCTCTGCTCGTACAGTAAATTAATTCCACTGAATGGTTCCCTGTGCATCAAAGGACGGCGGTGCGTCTCAGGTGATGGGGGTATCAAAGCCTTGCTTTAATTTGCCATCAGTTTCTCCACATGTGTTATTGTACACCGTGCCATTACTGGACAGTACTTAGCCAAATTAGATTATCTCTCCTCTTCCTCGTTCTGAATCAGGCCTGCGGTCTGTGGCATTCATTTGGTCTATTTTTAGTGGTCAGTCTCCCTTGGCTTTATTGGCTGGATGTTACGCTTCGCCAGCTCAGGATGTAAACAAACATTGCAGCTGAAATGTCACTGAATGTGGTTTTTGATGTTCTTTTTTAGAGGGATTTAATTCAGCATTAATTAATATTTATTTAGGTAATTAAGGCAATGGATGTTAGAGAGACTGAGAAGAAGAGAAATTTAATTCCAGGTCTGCAGGGGTCTCACTTGATATAATTTTACATTGTATATTGCTTCTGTTTGAGCATTTGAGCAACTAATATTTTAACCACAATACTATTGTTTGGTGAATAAATACTAAATGAGGAAAGAAAGACAAAACACGTGTCCTTTATCACTATAGATTAGAAGATATTAGACTCCGTATCAGTTCAACAATTTGCACTTTATCATCTAACCAGAAAGCTCAAGTAGTCGTAATGTGCTTATAGATATACTGTATACAGTTGAATGAATGATGACTTCTGCAGAATAAACAACTAACCATTATGAAGTATGTACAGTAGAATTAATGTAAGCTAGTAAAATAAGCTAGTATGCACTGTGTACAATCAGATCAAGGGACAGTTTGCTGATACACAGTAGTTCATGCAAACAGGGCCATAGTGTGAATTGTTGTAGGAAAAGCAAAGTATGTTGTTTTTAGAAGGAAATAAAAATAAGATGAAAGAAACAAGATAATTAACTTGTGCACACAAGGAGGAAATCTCCATTTTGGACTTTAGGGGCTCTGTAACATTACTCTCTTATACCACTCAGACACATTTTCCGTGTAACTCTTTGGTATCAAATCATTGTCCTATTGTACCTCTCACAAGCCCATTGCTTGAGGCTCATGGCTGCTTCAGTCTAATGGGAATATTTTGGGGTTTTTTTTCTAGTGGGATCCCAGGGAAGAAATGTGGCACCATCATAGTGCGAGCAGAAGAACTGAGCAACTGCAGGGTAAGAGTCTGTTTGGTTATGTTCTGTGTATTTTAGCACTGATACTGTTTTGCTTAAAGGATGCACCAAAGACATTTTTTCTTAGACACTGGCGTTGCCATAACACCAGAAATTTGTCTTCAATTATAGAACCAAGTGTATTATCTAAAAGCATATTTTCTAAAAACGCTACTCTACTGCTGCAAGCAGCATCAGGCACCATCACAGAATAGATACTGTGTTTTATCTTACCATGTTATGTCAAAAAATTGCAGTAACTTTTGCACAGTTTGGTTTTTCTTTCTGTTGGCTCTGTAGGCAAAAAAAGAAACCCAAAACACTTTTGTCCATAGTGCTAGTTTTCAACGAGTTGAAGATACACACAGCAGACATTTTGACACTGTTGTCGTCATTTGAATTTTGTGATGAGCCAGACTGTGATACACTTACAAACACTTTCAAATTAAGCCTGTTAATCTTGATTTAATCTTCCAGTCTCTGTTTTGGGGCAGGTGAAGATCAAGTTTTAATGTTTACTTCAAGAACTCAGTGGGTGAAAATATCAATAGCTACTCAAATGCAACGTGTTCTATCTTTGTCATTAACAGTGATGATTTATTGAAATTGTGCCAGTCCTACGAGATAATACAGAAATCAAATAGAGCAAATTAACTTCTAAAATGTATCTGTCAGAAACAGAATGTATCTACATGTAGGTGTAAACTGACATTTGTATTTGCACTGACATGGCACAGAGAAGTGGTGTATCACGCTTCATCATGCCTTTGACGTAATATTACTTGTTGACAGCGGTTAGTCAAGTTGTGTGTCATTTGTAAGGCCTGCGGCTGTGTGACATCAATATTTTGGTCACTTCCCTCCTTGCCAGGAGTTGGTGATGCTGCAGTTTTGTGGTAACAAGCTGGATAAGAAGGACTTCTTTGGAAAATCTGATCCTTTCCTCGTCTTTTACCGCAGCAATGAAGACGGATCGTAAGTTGTGATATCAGTTTGCTGAATTAACAAAAGCAGCTATCTCAGTTTACACACAAAGACACATACACACAGCATGTAAATATGCCTGTAATGTACTTAGACTCTAAATGTGATTTTTTCATGCTCTAAAAACCTCCCATACAGAAGATATAAGGTCTGAACCTCCTATGCGATGTTACATAACTCGTGGTGTTGTATATGTGACTAATGCCGTCCAGCAGTTACCAGGAGAAACCAGGAGAAGAAGAGATGAGCAGAGAGAATAGGACAGAATTGATGAGAGGAAAATAAAGGGACAAAGCGATAAATAAGATAGAGTTAAGTGAAAACTGTGTGTGGAGGTCGAGGTTTCTTTGCCCCGCAGATGCTTTTAAGTTGATATCAGTGTCTTAGTGAAGACACACATTCTCTTTTTGTTCAGCTGGGTATTTACTGATGCAGCCTAAATGTTCAGCCGCAGGCTATAAAAGCAGCACGCTGTGACTACAAAGAGCCACACTAGGTGCTGCGTAGAGAAGAACAGGAAGCTGTTATATCATCTAAAGATCATGCTTTATGAAATACTTTTAAGATTACACCCCCTTAATAACAACAACAACAACAACAACAACAACAACAACAACAACAACAACAACAACAGAGAAGAGGTGCAATCAGGGTTTTATTTTTTTGGACTATAAAGTCCAGCTGAAATATCTTATATCTGCTCTGTATATTGCTTGTCTTTTGTTCTTCTTTGAGAAAAGATCTGAAACCAAAAGGGAGACATTTGTATTTTATATTTTTTGGTTTCATGAGGTCACTGTCTATTTTTGAACAAACGCAATACTCTTCCAATATCGGTCTATTTATATGGAGTTATTTCGATACAGCCAATCAAATTTTGCATAGAGCAGTAACGTTAGCGTTCTATCATAGTCAGTTGAACTTTGGTGAATTTGCGTTACTGATCATTAAGTGAGCCATCTTGACAGTGTTTGTAGGCACGGGGAGTCCAAAATATATGAAGTTTGTACCTTTTTAGCTGTGTTGTGACATTTTATTCAACCTTCTCTGTCAGAATGAGAAGTGTTCCACAAAAGAGCAATAGTTTCTAAGACTAAAGTCAATGGTACACATAAGTCTTTTGAATAAACTGTAAATGACAAAGCAAAGATAATGAGTTTGCTAACTTACCATTAGCAAGAGCAACATTTTCTCTATTCATTAACTTTTCATTGAACAGATGTCAAGGATATAAACTATGTAGAGAAAATTGACTATTTATTTATTTATTTTTATTATTTTTATTAGGGACCAATACATCTAACATAGATAAACTGAAAACAGCAATTCAATGTGTGTACCATAGTGTTTTTAGCAGTTGCTAATTTTCAACTAGTGCTAGTCCGGGTTGGGCTGGCCAGCTTCAGTAGTTCACCAACAAGCCCTGAAAGTATTCACTAAGTCACCAAGATCCAGGTGAGAGGAAGAGGAGCCTTTCAGATTCCCTAAAGTCCTTTTTTCTTCCTAGTGATACTAAAGGGCTTTTAACAATACATTTAAAAATGACGTTGCTGCAAAAAAGGTACTAAAAGGGACTAAATATTATTTCAGTTGGACTTTAAGTTAAATTTATTCCGTTGTTGTTTATTCTGTTCTGCTCACAGGTATACCATCTGCCACAAAACAGAAGTGGTGAAGAATACTCTGGATCCGGTGTGGCAGGCTTTTAAAATTCCTGTCAGGGCGCTCTGTAACGGAGACTACGACAGGTACAGTAGGAGACCTAGCAGTAAAAAGCTAAAAATAGTCTTGCTTCTTCTTATTGAAAATGTCATTAGTTCCTCTGTAAACTTGCAACAAGAGTACCACTGTACTATGCCTATGCAATGCTGTACAGTAGCAAGCTAAACTTGTGCAAATTTTATGCTGCATCAACAGAAATCTTTGATCAATTTCGTCATTCTATATAATGAACATATATCATAATACAGATTTAGAGGACTGATCTGTCTTGGTGGTGGTATGTACTATCTGAGTGCTTCCTAATTCATTTTTATTTTGATCTTTTTATAAATCGTTTCTTATTGGCCTGGGTTACACAAGGTTTATGACAACCTTCAAAAAACTGCTTTGTAACTCCCCTCTCTGCATTACGTAGGCTTGTCCACTTAGGACCCCAGTCTTTCACGGACCAGTTGCCAGCATTTTAAGCAGAAAGACTGTAAATCAGTGATGCTAATTGGTTTTTTAATGGGATTTTCTTCTCCTCCCCTTGTCCCTCCTCTGTTTTCTACAGGAGCATTAAGGTGGAGGTGTATGACTGGGACAGAGATGGAGGGTGAGGGAACAATGCTCTTTCTTTTATACTGTTAAACTAAAGTCATAATGTCTGCACTGGATTGCATGAGCTATATATTTTGGTGACTCTATTATTTCTTTTTTTATTCATCCTAAAAGCTGTTGTAAGATATAAAGATACCATTTTTGCCTGATGACACTGATATTGTATGCTCCTTAAAAATAAAAACTGCCCTGAAAATATAAGAGCATATGTGCAAAAGTAGGGAAGGGCGTTTGGGATTATAGTCAGGGATCACACTTTATAATGTTTGTCCTTATACACCCTCTTTTTTTCCACAGAGTAAATATTGTAGACAAATACCACTGCAGAGCCCTACATTTGACAACACTCCCTACTGCTTTAAACGTACATTAACTATTAATGCGGTTTGAATGGCCCCTTGACAGATAACTTCATAGAGTCTGTGGGGGAATAAAGATGGTGTTTATCTTGTGAAGCAAGTGAATTTCCAGCTTTCAGGGGCTCACTTTCCCCCTTCATTGATAATTTCACATGCAGTTTTTGACATTTCAAGGGCATTGAGCTCCCATAAAATTCTGACCCTGGTTCCCACTGTGTTGATTATCTCCATGAAATTATGAAATTGGTTGCTACGCCCACGCCTCCGGTTACCAAGGAGCTTGTTAGTGATGCTCCTGATTTCTCCTGTACTTTGAGGACTATTTTACAGAGAACGTGAATACGCTACAAAGAAATGAATCAAATCTGTACTTCTTGAGCAGTAATTTTTACTGTTACTATTTATTTATTATGGTGTCTTAGCTTCACCACTGTGCTTCTCAATATAATGCTAAAATGTGACTGTGTTTTTGTTTTTACAGCCACGATTTTATCGGCGAATTCAGCACCAGCTACAGAGAAATGTCCAGAAGCCAGTCACAGTTCCACATCTATGAGGTGATATTCTTCACATACACACACACACTGACAGAGACATACATGTCATGAATGTAGTGAAAGTCTCTCCCACGCTTTCTATTTAGTCCTTTAGCTGACCCCAATTCAAATCATAACCCTAAAAGCAAACCCTCAGGCAGCCCTTTGAAGAGGTGGGGATCATCACACTTTCCATAAATGCCCTCACAAATACTCAGATTGGTCCGTGTATGGGAGATCTGTGATGTGGGACAATTTTTGACACAGATCATGAGGTGAAAAAGAGTTTAAAATTAAGCTAGCACCAGTTCCTCACAAGACGTTGTGAGTTCCTTCACTAACTGGCCCATTATCAGCACAACCTGAATCACTTACTGTGGAGGCAGGAATAGCATGTTATGTTCAATAACGTAACTGTGCAGACACTAACAAGACGGAGGAATATTTAGTGGGGTTTAATAAACAAACCGGTGAGATGGGGTCGATTCTCCAGAAACAAAAGCAAGGTAGTCCATAAATGAAACGGTGAGTAGTCCATTAATCCAAACGGACAGAAAATATCCAAACATCCAGAGAGAAACAAAAGCAATAATCCAGAAACACGAGACACAAAACATCCACAGTGTAGCACAGTGAAGAAACAATGAACGAAAAATGCTGACCTTTACATCTGAGTTGCAGACTGTATCAAACATTGATGAAGTGTTTATAACATTACCTATCAAATCTGGCTTTGGTAAATTAAAGTTTAGGCAAAGCGCAAAACACCTAAATTGAGCTTGTGTTGAGTGAGGTCAACTAAAACTCTGAATGTCCCCGTGACCAGGACACCTAAAAAATTAAATTATCCATTTAGACACTAAAATCTTTTGTCAAATAAAGTGGCATGAGCATTTTCTGAGAAATTATTTCTTTTGGAAGCAATGTTTTTCAGCTTGTGAAAAAAATTAAACAAAGCTTCTTCCCTGCTTAAACTGAATGTAATGTGGTAATAGGAGTGCTGTCTCATCAAACTTTTTTTTTTTTTTTATTATAATTTTGCTGGATAGAGTCTTAGTTAATTGAAACAAGAACACATAACTCATGATCTCTGGTTGCTTTTCTGTCACCCTCTGCTCACTGAGTCTCAACAGTGGATTGAAGCTCATGTTTTCTCCACAGGTACTAAATCCAAAGAAAAAAGGAAAGAAGAAGAAAAAGTATCAAAACTCAGGAACGGTGAGTCAGCAGTTTTTACAGCTTTGACTGATGTTTTCCCATTGTAACACCACAGCTGCACTTACACCAGAGGCCCTTTGTTTAATTCCAAATTCCTATTCAGAGTTGATGTGATTTGTTTGTGTTTATGTATGCATTTTCCACCTCGGCAATGTGTACAATACCAACAGGAGGTGACAGTGATGTGAAAAAGACAAGTAGAAGACGGTGTCAGGGAAACACTAATACAATAAATCACATCACTTTTGAAACAATTTGTTACCTATCATGTTAGCTATTTTGTTTTATTTACACTTCAATGTCTCATTGTCTTTCATGCCAAACATATTTTCCTATGGAGATCTTACTGAAATTTTTTTAAATCAGATTTGGTACCGTACATATATCCATACCGTTCTCTCAATTAATGATAAGGCTGAATTATCAATACATAAATCTGGTGACTTCCCTGGAACCCTCGACCTCCAGGGGCCCCAAAAACCACAGAGAATAAGCAAGTAGTAGAAAAAAATCAACTGTGCGCTGCATTACTAAGTAATCGTGTGGTCTTATTTTGCATTTGTATAAAAAATCTATATAATTTCATTATTTTAGTTTATAATGTGCTCACAAACTAAATGAAATATAGAAAACCAACTTGGAGGTAACAAAGCTCCAAACAGCATGTTATTATTGCCTCTGGGCACAGACAGTTCAATTCAGCCATGCTCTGAACAGGTTTTACTGCTTTCACTGAATAGGAATCCTTAGTTTTAAATGTAGCCTTATAGCCATGCATGTGTTTGAAGAGTTTGTGTTATACTGTATAATTGTGGTTCAACAGTGAAAGGAGCTGGCTGGAATGAACTTGAGAATGAGAAATATTGAGAAATAAGAAGACACAGAACTGCATATTGGACAGACATAAGAAGTCTACCTAACCAGCCTGACCACTGTTTTTACCATCACAGAATGACAAAATTAGAAACTAAAGATCATTGGTTCGCTCTAAGAATCAGGTTTAACACACTCTGCTCACACTGTAAAAGTGAGCAAATTTCTGCACTTTTCTGACTGGCAGGTCACCCTCCTGTCCTGCCTGGTGGACACTGAGCTCTCCTTCCTGGACTACATCCGAGGCGGGTAAGTTCACAATAAACGGCAGCGTGTGATTTTGCAGAGATTAAGCACCAACATCACTGTCATCGTTAAATCCAGAGTCACTAGCAGTTGTGATGTAGTGTAGACTCAGCTGAGAGGATTACTGCATGGTGTTTATCTCTTAGCTCCAATATTAAGACAGACAGATGCTGATAACCCGCTGCTTAATTGCTCTCTGCTGCATGCTTTTGAAACATGCTGTGGTATAATCTAGCATGATTGATGATTCCACTTTACTCCTTATGTGATTTATTTTCTCTTGTAGGACTCAGATTAATTTCACAGTGGCAATTGATTTCACAGCATCAAATGGTAAGCATTGCTCTTATCAATAAAATCCCTTCAATGTATTGACCAGATAAAACTTTGGTGGTTAACACTCACATCTGTTTTTGATGTGAACTCTTAAGTTACTCCTTATCAGTCAATTTTAATTTACTTATTCTTACGACAAGTCAGCCCCTTTTACTCAGCTATAGAGACAAAAAGGAAAAGTAGCTGAAAGAACAATTATGTGAACATTATCTTTTACTTTAAACATCTGAGCTTAGTTTGATGTTCTTTAATAACCACAATTTGTACAGTTTGTGCCTCATTGTAGATGAAAACTCATTACACCCACATTTTTAAAATTAAATTTCCAATTCAGATTGTTGTCACCATATAGTTAGTGTTTATGAAGCCCCACAGGTAAACTGCTTTGCATTTTTATTAGTGACAACAATTCAACGGCAAACAAACAAAACAAGCACTTCTGCACAGAAGACTTTGTCACGTTGATGAGTAATGTTCTCATTTTAGTAAGAGATGATTCAGTAAGTTAATATATGAAATACAATTTTGTAGACATCATTATGTCACAGGAGAAATGAGTGGCTTTCTTTACTGCCATCAAATAGGCTTCCCAAGTTCCCATCTATGAGAATGGCTGAAATAATAGGGATATTATGCATATAATTAGATTATTGTTCTTGGCAATTGGTACCATGCTGAAGTTTTTCTTTGAGTCCCATTTGCTCAAATTTGCAAAACTACTAACAGAAGTTTTTCAAAGTTTAGGTGTAACTCCTGTGCCAAGCTGTTTTTGAGGAAATGACTGAAACTATGTATTTCTTACCGATTTTTAAAGATTCATGTCTTCAGAAAGAACTTAACAGGCTGAATGCTAAAGACAGTTCGGAAGTCGGAAAGTACTTTAATGTCACCACTGTTGTTACAGTTTTTTTCGATTTACTGGATGTATTTATTTTTATCTGTTCTCATTTCCCTGTTGGTACCAAAAATAAAGACAAAACAAGTGAAGCTAGGCTTTTGATTTAAGCATTTTTATCATTCCTTGTTTGTATTTTTTGTATGTCACAAGCGGCTTCTTGCATTTATGGAAAGAAAAGGAGCTTTTTTACAGATCAAAAAGTTATCATCAGCATTATTTCTGAGTAATCACATGTTTACTGATTTCATTTATTTAGGGTCAGCAGGTCACTGCAGCTCAGCATCTTAAGTGTAGTAGCTAAATTACAACTGTGGCTTCTTGTTACTGCAAAATGATGGTTCCATACACTACCCACTGAAGTTTTAGGCAACCAGTGAGATTATTTCTGCCTCCAGTGCAGCTGTGCTTTGGAGAAATGTTTGTGTAACTAAAACTCCAGTCTGCATTTTAACCCTCTTTCACCCACTCCCCTTCTTTTTACTTTAATATGACTCACAGCTCAAGGGGAGCAGGCATAATTACAGTTTGATGCTGATGTGTGTTGTATTGTGTTGATCCGTTTGGGTTCCAGGCAACCCTTCCCAGCCCACCTCGCTCCATTACATGAGCCCATACCAGCTGAATGACTACGCCATGGCACTGCGGGCTGTTGGAGAGATCATCCAGGACTACGACAGCGACAAGATGTTTCCTGCACTGGGCTTTGGTGCCAAGCTTCCCCCAGATGGACGGGTCTCGCACGAGTTTGCCCTGGTGAGTTGACAACTTTCTCCCATTATTTGCATCGTCCAGCTTTCCACCCGTCTCTACACACACACACACACAAATCTTCCAATCATTTATCCTTCCATTTATCCTCCATTTTTATCTATGCATCCATTTCCCTACATGAAATTTACATAAAATATGCCAACATCTGCCTGTTCATTTATTCAACATAATCATCCATAACCATGTCTGGGAAAAATGAATGGCCAAATTTTTACCCAATGTGGAATTATTTGATAGTGTCAAATAACAGTCCAAATAACTCTGGTGATCTAAAAAAATTCTCTTTGAAACATGAACATGTCTGTACCGGATTGTATGGCATTTGTTGAAATTCTCTATATGTCCTGACAGTAATCCAATGCTGTGACACAAAAATGAAAAAACAATGGGACTGTTGCACTCACTCCAAATGAAACTGTGCACTCTGCCCCTGCACTCATTGCAAATGAAAATTAGTTTTTTGGGTGGGATTTTTTCAGCTGGATACTTTCAAATTCTGCCTAGCTTGCTGGTTTCGCCAACTTTACCTATCCCAGCTTTAAGTAAAATCAGAGACAAAATCTTGAATCTAATTTTGAACATTAAGATTAAGACTGGCTGTATAAAAAAATCAACAACTTGGCTTGTTGTCAAACTGCTGTTGAACATGGCATTGAGAATAAATCTTTCAATAGCTTTCGTGCCAGACAGAGGAGCTTGTCTGTCACAGCGAGGGTAAAGACAACTTTCATGTTTCTCACAGAAAGATATAAAAACAGTTATACTTATTTACTTATATAAAAGTAAACCTAAAACACACAGCATGCAACCACGCACTTTCATACACAGATGACCAATTACAGACAACAGTGTATTGGTGGGTGGTGAATGCTGCTGTCCAAAAACATGAATACATTCAGCCAACCTGTGCAGACTGTGGTGATGGAAGCCAAATGAGCTGGTTAGTTTTTGGCTGTAAACAAGACTTCATAGCTGTGCACACCAAGCACACCACATTTTGCTTTGTTTTCTCTATATACTGCCAGTCAAGTCCTACTGAAGTGACAAAGTTTCATTTCTTTAAGGAAATTATACCAAGGTTTGACAATCATTTGAAAACGAACGTATGGAAATCATGCACACAGTACCCATTAAGGATACATAATCTGGATTATTTGTGTCCTCCATTCAACACCATCAGCCTTCAACCATGCTTCATTTTCACTCTCCATCTCCGTCCTCCATCTGTCCTGACCACTCCTCAGCCACCCATAATCCTCTCCCTGGTCCACTGTCACTTCCAGATGTTGCTCCAGAGGCGTTTACAGCTATTACAGCTGCTCAGCGTTGGGTAACAGCCTCCCCAGAGGCGCCAGACCTTGAGACAAGGCACAAATGCATTAATCTAACCATTAAGGACTTAACTTAGTCAGCTCTTAAAGAAGAGGGTTGCAGCTGTGTAGCCACAGTGGGAGAAAGCCAGCATTGAATCGACGTAATTATGCAAGCTCCATTTACAAAACAAAGGAGTCTCACGTGCACTGTTCGCACTCATGGGCAACCAAGCAGAGTCTGTCAAGATGGTTTCAAACTCAGATAATTAGAAAGCCCTAAACATATGGGTAGCTTAAATAATGCATTGTTTGCTGTTTGTGAGTTTTTGTTTTTTGGATATCTTAAACCCAGTCAACCAGACATCAATTTTAATATTTTTGAAAGGATGTGGGGGCTGCAGAGATGCAAAAACACTGCAACAACTGTGTTTCAACATCTTAAAATAAGAGTTTACTTTAGTCGATGTTGATGACGACTTCTTTTTAAGACACAGTTTTTGCACTCTGGTGCAAACAAACTGTATCTCACCACAATGTATTTTACCAAAATGCTTCTCCTCATGCAGAGTTAAAAATGTGAAATGGCTTGCCTCAGGATACTCTTTACTGAAATGCTGCAACAGAAGAATTAAACTGTTGACATTTCCCTAAAATATGTGTAATATGTTTAATGTAAGATTGGATTTTTACATCCTTAAGGGCTTGCAACCCTCTAGTGCCTCTTACACTAGGTAATATTTTTTAATATATTTTTTGATATTGGAATATTATTGATGTTTTGGCCCTGGGGTTGCCATTTTTGATATCTCTGAGTGTGCATGTAATCCTGTTATCCTGCAATTTGCAGCCAAAATATGTGCGTTTTGAAAATAAAATGTAATGCCTTTACAGTCTTTTTCCCATAAAGGGATACGAAATCTACAAAAAAATGTTTATTTTCTCCTTCATGGTGGCGCTGTTTTTTATTATTCCTTTCAGCTACACTCTCTGAATATATCAAAACAAACTGTATTTAATTTAGTTTTAACTTTGATGCATAGTGTTAGTGTGCGTAGGTCCCAGCTGTACCCGTAGATGTAATGTAAGAAAGTTATTCTGATTGCCCTTGAATATATTTAACACATTTTTCACAACATTAGCTTGCTGACAATAAATCAGTGAAGGAGCACACTGTATGTAAACTAACTCTTAGCCAGTGGTGTAGTGAACACCACCAGGAAAGAGGCTGAAGATACTGCAGACCAACAGCATCATCCTTAAGGAGAAATATGAATGTGTAATCTTTTCATATAAGGTCTGCTTTTTTAGAGTTCCTGAAATTACATGAAAGCGTACTCAAATTCATAGACAACAGAATCCGTCTTGTCTTAAATTTGCTTTAGTACACAAGGAGAAGAACTTACTGTTTTTGTCTTCAGCTTAAAATAATGGTATGAAGTAAGGTTTAAAAAAGACTTAAGGCTTTCTGCTCTGTGTGCAAGCACTTGAATTGCGTTGCAGCAGCTGTTCAAAGACATTTGATGCAAGCCTACACATCATACATTAAAAATAAATACTTTAAATATTATGACCGTCATGATTTTAAATAACATGGATTAGGAAAAACTTCCAATGACCTTTGTGCATAAGAAATATCTTAATTTCTTGAATTTCCATTTGCACTGACATTAAATGTTATTCTTGATGAATAAAAAGACTTTATTCAGTCTCAGGTGTTTTACTTAAAAGTTCTGGTACCAGGAAGCTGATTCCACCCATCAAATGCGGCAAAGTGTTACAGTTTGCCAACTCCCCATCCCACTAGCTTAGTTATACCTAAGCTTCTCATAAAGAGGGGTTTATGGCTCTCTTTTGCTATCCTTCTTTAAAGACAAATCTAATCAAAACCAGTTTCCCACAAGCAAATCAAAAGAAAATGAGACACCTCAGGGTTTCCTCATTTCTACGCTTGAGAGTCTGAACCCTCTCGTATGTCAAAGTTGCATTGTCCCTTTTGAGTTATTCAATGGATTTAACAGTGATTTGGCAGTTTTACATATATATTTCGGTAATTTTCTCCAACAATCAATAATGGTTTTGTCTTTCTGTTATTGTACAGAATGGTAATCCACAGAACCCATACTGCAATGGTATCGAGGGAGTGATGGAGGCCTATTACCAGAGTCTCAAATCTGTGCGTCTCTACGGACCCACCCACTTCTCCCCTGTTATTAACCATGTGGCCAGGTAGGTCCACTATAATCACAACCAGAGACACAGAACGTGTAGGCTAACACACATGCAAATGTGATGGAGTACAACACCACCATGAAATTTAAAGTTCTGCTGAAGAAATTCCTTGAACATCAGTTGGCTTTGGTGAAAGTCCAGCCGTGTGTGGGCTGCTGTCCAGCAATCTGTGAAGCAAAGGGAAGAGTGCTATAAATGTGCTATTAGATCTAAGTCACCTAAGAGGAATCACTTCTTACTGTGGTGGTATGGACACGTGCAACAACCACAACACTCGTTTAGACGGTAACCAGTTGCGCGATGACTGTTGGGCTGCCTTCAGGTGCAGGAAGAGGCACCAAGGAATTTAAAAACAATGAAAAACCCATGCACAGTAGAATAAGCAGTGCTGTGAATAACAGTAAATGTCACACCTCCCACCATTTCACAAACACAATAAATTAATCCCTATAGGCACAAGTAGAAAATATGTAGCAATGCTGCAGTACTAAAGAGAACAAAACCTGTATTACGAGAGGCATATAGGCCCTCAAGTGCAGTTCAACTTTTATTGGAGCAACAAATTAAAATGCAAAGTGCCGCATTTCCAGTTTTAAATATTTAATACAAATAATATATTCTTCTAGTAGATACTACCAGAAACTGTCAGCAGCACTTGCCCAATTTTCACGAATAACCACTGATAAGAAGCAATGAGCTGTTTTGTACTACAGTATTTTCCGACTTCAACCTGACGTTCCGTATCGCCAGATCGTGTCTCATGATCCTCAAGACTGACTGTAACAAGCACTTTTCCCACCTTTCATCGTTGGCTTTCAAATGCCTTATCTCTCTCTCCCTCCCATCTCTCTCCGCCCACTCAGCCTGAGAATAGCTGCATTGTTCAGTGCTAACTTCTGTGGAGCATCTGACTAAAACCCAGCGAGACATCGCTAAAAAAAGTGACACCAAGTCACGTCTCATTCCTAATTGTCTGACTGTGCGTAAGAGTATTGTTTAAGATGTACTCTCAAAATATTGTCCTGTGACATCACTTCAAACATTTCACCCTGGTTTATATAACAGAAAACTGGTACAAGTGTTAGTTTAGAGCAAAAACGTAGACCAGTATATCATGTCCCGTAATATATTGTTTCTTCTTATGAAATAAATGCAGTACATGCACACTGCATCAGTATATTATTATATATCAGTATATTCTGTATGAAATTAAATTGTTTGCGTTACCACGATAACTTTTTAATGCTGTCACAAGTCAGTTTTTTTTGTATAACCCAATATTACAATCACAAATGGGGCTTCATGATCTGTACAGCATACATCACTTTCTGTCCTTAGAAACTCGATTTGGATAAGGAAAAAACTTCCCAAAAAAACAATTGTATCTGGAGAAAAAATGGGAGACAGTATCCCTCTCCCAGGACAGTCAGACATGCCATAGATGCTGATTAGACCTTTGACCCCCTGTCTCTCTCCATGCCAGGTATGCATCAGCAGTGACAGACGGCTCACAGTACTTCATCCTGCTCATCATCTCTGACGGCGTCATCACGGACATGGCACAGACCAAGGAGTCCATAGTCAATGTACAGTACCAGATTTAAACTCAATCTATGCACTGTGTTTTGTTTTTCAAACTTTATTGTTTTATGTAAGACAGGAGACTTTGTGTTGCCAATGCATTTTCAAAACCATCTTAACCAGTCAATATAAAGTATAATGGACAGCAGCAGTCCATGTACTCTATGCTCATATTCATTCAGTTAATTGACTGTAAAGCATATGAGGACCTTGGGAGGTCCATCTATCATTAAGCCACTAATGGAGATGCTAATAAACCAACAAACAAATAATATGAAAGGGGTAATATGAAAAGCAGTCCAGCTGCTGCGTTTCTCTTTTTGTAATTCCTCTCTCTCTTTCACTCATCTTCACTAATGAGGGCAGTGAGGGAAGAGGGGCGTAGGCCTGGTCACCCTCCCCCCACCTCTCCCTGATCCCTCCAATCCTGCTACATTCAGCTAATAACTCTGTTTTCTAATCAGTGTGGTCAGAGCAAACGATTTTTCATATATTTAGAGCCCCAGTGCCCTGTGCTCGCTGCTCTGCATCACATAGCCTCTCCTCCCCCATGCCCCCATGTGATGTAATGTTATTGTAAATTAAGATTTGAAAGTAATTATTTATTAGCCCGCGGAGGATCCATGCCCCTCATATCTTAAGCAGCACAAATGGGCATCCAACTAATAACCACAGGAAGTTATGAGACAGTGAAAAACCTTCATTCATCACTCGAACTGCACTCAGCTAAGATTTAATAAACAATATTGCGATGCAGGGCAGCAGTTCAGCTACAGCTCAGAGCAGAGAAAGATGTAAATGGGAGTCATTTTTAAGCTGTCAAGCTTTGGGAGATTTAGACAAAGTTGTAGATGCATGAAATTAAAAAAACTCCAGAACTGGCCAGACGAGAGGCTTTATGAAACCGGCTGCAGAGGGCAGATGGAATTGGATGAACCCCGTCTGTCTTAACAATGGCATTGAATTTTGCTATTGAGCTTCCTTTTTTTATGGACTGTTAGCTTACAGTTAGTAATTCACGGGGGTATTTCACTGACAGCCTGCGGCGTTTAAGATGGCAAACGGTGAAAAGAATGAACGTTGCCTCTTCCTGCTTTTGATCCGCTTATTTTGTCTCCTTCAACCCTTTACAGGCCGCGTCTCTGCCCATGTCAATTATAATAGTTGGGGTTGGACCAGCAGAATTTGACGGTAAGCAGGGTGAAGATCACGTGCATGCATGTGTGCATACTTTTGTGTATGTGTATAGGTGTGTGTGTGTGTGTGTGTTTATTTGCATGCAGTAATCCTTCAACTTCATTCTTCTTCCTATCTCGCCTCCCATATGGTTCAGCCCTTCCTTGTGCAGTTCTTCTTTTCATCTCCCCTACATTCTCCTTCCCCTTAATTCCCCCACCCCCTCTCCTACACTGAGTCTGAGGTTAAGTGGTTGTGAAAATTCTTTTTTGTCAGACCAGAGGTGGTGCTTTTTTTCATTTTTTTTTTTTTCAATGGACAATGTTCACATTTCTCACCTCTCTCCTGTGTTGTCATATTTACAATTCATGGAGCAGTAAAAAAAGAAGCTCAGTCACGATGAGCAATTAGTCAGTGAGATTCAACGATTATCACGCTTATGAAATCAGCCTGCACGGTTGCATGATGTCCTCTGTGGTGCGCATTGCTGGCTGTGCTTAGGCCTGCACATATTCTAGCATGTTTCCCCCATGTGCACAGTTCTGTGCAACTTAGAGCCCGATGGCTTCACGCTCAGCGACGCAAATTCTGTGTACTCGTGCCACGTTTGGCATTACCAACACTCCAAGGAAATGTAACCCAGTGGCACGCTACTGGCTTCAGCAGATTAAAACACACAAACTACGTGTCGTGTTTGCTCGGCTTAGCTTTGACATGGCGGTTACGGTCTCTGACAGGGTGTGACTGATGTGCTTCCCTCCTCAGAAATGATCGAGCTGGACGGGGATGAGGAGAGGATCTCATCTCAAGGACGATATGCTGAGAGGGACATTGTTCAGGTACAGAATATTCCCAAAGACATGGCTGACTGGCTGCGAGACTGTTCTCTCAGCAGAATGTCTTTAGAGAAATGTGGGATTTATGATTAATAGGAAAAGGTCAGGGTGCTTGAAACGCTGCCGTGCTCTTGTTCTTAGTCTGCCATTTTTCTCTCTTTTACGCTGTCTTGCCCTCTAAAGGACCACCTCTCTTTCACTTTCTCTTACCTGATATTTTATCTAACCTCCTCCTCTCCTCTACTTGTTTCCTCTCATCTCTTCTTCACAGTTCGTTCCTTTCAGAGACTACATTGACCGGCGGGGAAACCACATCCTCAGCATGGCTCGCCTGGCTAAGGAAGTGCTTGCCGAAATCCCAGACCAGTTCCTGTCCTACATGAGGACCAGAGGGATCAAACCAGGTCCCTTGCCACCTCCTTACACCCCCTGTCCACCACCAGCTATCCACCCCCTCCTCGCCAGACGGGTAAGCCGAATCTAAAAGCCAAGGCCTCGCTCCAATGCGGCAAGCCGACTCTACTGGTCTCTACTCTCCTCTCTCTGCTTCTTCTTCGTCCTACTCTTCACTGGAAGCTTTTGAGCACACAGCGAACCTCGCCCGCTCTCTAAAGTTGCACTTTTGGGAACGTTTGGCCATCAGTCGTGAGCATGATGCAGAAAACCCCAAGTGGGCTTACACTTTTTAGAAAAGGGGGCTTTTCCCTTACTGGACAAAGGTGGGGGTTTTGAATGGTTGTTGTGGGAGTCTGAGATCACCTACCTGCACCAGGAGGAGTGAACAGGACAGAAACTGACCATTCACAGCTGTCAGACTGAAAGTGTCAAAACGGGGGAGGCCCTTATTTGAAACACTTCATGTGTTTGCTATTTCTAAATCCTCTATATTTCACAAAATCTCTCCATATATAAATGTTTACAAAAATTGAGGACTGGAGTGGAGATTTTTTTTCAGGAGGAAATTTATACCAATCAATGTGAAAACCTTTCAGATTGCTATTTTTCGGCTGCAGAAACTGGAGGTTGTGACTTTGTACAAAAACATTTAGGCCCTGGTGCCACATTCTTCATTACAGTGTGTATGTTTTTTTAAATAAATGGAGCATGTGCTAGTTTAAGAGAAGCATGCACTGTTGTCTTGCACTCAGGGCTTTGTCCCTCCCACACAAACCCCCTACCACCACCACACCACCACTGCCATGTTCCATTAAGAGCAAACCCATCACTTACATGAAATCTTCCCATGCTCCTACCTTCTGCTCCGTCCACCTGCCTTGACTCAAAAGGAAGCTGTGCTCCCTTGGAGTCCGGTCAAATGAAATGCAGCAGGGACTTGAACCAGCCTTACTCTTTTGTCAGATAACATTCACAGGCACCGTGTCCTCTGTGGGTTCTGGAAATGTGGATCTCCAAGCCCAGAAGTCAAAAACACACATCTCACTACCGAATCTGACTGTGTGTTACGTTTTAGAGTCTCTTTATTTTCATTGAATAACATTGTAGGTTTTTTTGGTTTGTTTTACGTCTCTCTACCTCTCACGTTGTTTTGTATTGCCAAAAAATGTTGTTGAAATAACAAAGTGTTGGTGTGTCCGTGATTTTTGGTAAGTCTGCAGAGTTCACAGTTTTACCTTTCTCAGTAAGTATTCATAAAATATTTGCCAGACTGTAGGTTGAGAATTATAGCACTTTGGTAGCTGTCAGATCAGGCGACTCACACGCTTGGGTTAGCAACACACTGTGAAAATGTGCACAGAAAACAGTTAACCAACAGATCAAAGTGCAAAGATGCTTTTCTTTTAGCAGCTACCCATATGGATCAAAGTAGTGACTGTGAGCAGGTTTTAGTTGTCCAACAGCATTGTAATAGTAAAAGCAGAAGCCATTAATAATCAGTAACCCCTAGGTGTAGTAGCATCAAGCTATTCATTCATTCAGTCATTAAGATTTAAAGGCATAGTGACCAGAAAAACAAATGTTTTCAGTATCAAACGCTCACGAAGGCTTTAAAAAGGTAGGTCTGAAAACTTTGGGGGTGACAGCAGCTGTTTACAATGGATTCCAGTTGCAATTTTCCTTTCCTACATTGGCTTGCTTGCTTATTGACAGCTTTTTCTCCGAAAAACAACCGATCCCATCAGGGTTTTGTTGGTGGGATTAAGAATGGGGATGTAACTGTCCTGTGGCAAAGCCTAAAAAATGACCGCAGAAAATTTCCACCAAATTGGCGACATACATGGATGATATCATCACAGCTGTACAGGTTGTTTTCGACTTTCGGCGTATTTCTTTGACAAACAGCCTCTTACTAAAGAGCAAAGGGGTCCCACAAGATTTTAAACATAAGAGATATCGGGGGGGGTTCTGTCATCCAGGCACCAACATATGGCTTAGCTTGCTAGCATGGTTAGCCGTTTAAATCTGTTGATCCAACTGCACTGCTTATATTGTTTGGTTGCAAAAAATTTTTTGTGGATGTTTTTTAATTTTTTTTTCTTGAAATTGTGTCACAATTGGATTTGATTTGAACTGTTCAAGATAACCATAACGGCTGTCCTCTGCAAAAGGCTACATCCTTTTCTTTGCTTACAGGTGGTGAGTGTTTGATATTCAAAACTTTGATTTTTGGAGCAGTATTCCTTTAAAATGGGGGAAATACTCATACCTAAAACAGGTAATTGCACTGTCACTTTCAGACAAGTTTTGGGTTAAAACTTCCCAAACCCTGCTGTTTTGCCCAGTAATGTGTACATCAAAACTTTACAGTGTGACTCTAAGCAAAGCACAAACTCAGACAAGCTACAGCTACTGTATCCAGAAGCCCTTGTAACTCATGTAAATGTGTTATATACATTTTACTCTGTATGCGTGTACTACAAACTGTAGATCCTACTTTTTAGGGCCCTATTCAGTCAAGGAATCAGTGTAAGAGCAGGTTTACATTTTTTTTTAACTTACAGCTCAAAATTATATATACTTCTTGGCTGATGAACATCTACTTATAAACTGCATGTAAAATGTTTTCTTTATTTTCTAATTTACATTTATACTCTGTACAAATTTTTGGTAAATTATTGGTCAATATACTTTTTGTGTAATGCTGCTTCTTTACTGCTGATATAAGTATTAGTTTTTATACTGAGGCCTGTAATCATATTTAAATCATGACTAACAGGCCTTATTCATGTTTATACGTAAGTTATTCATATTTAAATCATGAACGACAGGCCTGTATTTTTTTTTACAAGAGAATGGTTCATAATAATGGATATTTCGTGTGTGCAACATGTTTAAAAGTAAATGGTGATCAAGTACACTCTGTAGCAACATTTTTCTGCCAAATTCGACATATTATTAATTGTAGCGTCTCATTCTTGGATGAGACTCATTCCAAAAAAGCTGGTTATTCAGTTTGACTGAATAGGGTCCATCAGTGTGGGGACAGGTGTTTTGATGGATTTTATACTCTTCTGTATTGTTTAATTGCGGGGACCCCGTACGACAGCGGGGATGTCGAATTGCACAATGTAGCACTGGTCTCAAGTCTAGTATTGGACTGGAGCAACACCAGACTGAACCACATCAGACCAGATCAGGCAGGAATAGTCTTTTTATATGTATATATTTTCTGTATATGCTGTATGTATGTTTTCTGGAGAGCTGCCTTGCAGCGAACTGCTGGGACTCTCTGAGTCTCCTCCTGAAAGACAAGGCAGGGCCTTTCATTTATTTATCACGACAAGATGTCAACTTCATCTCACACCCACATTCTCATATACGGTACATCAAGTACATGTTTGTAAATGACACTTACATAACAAGGCAAAGGTTGAGTGAAGATTAATTGTTCTTGCTTGTTTTCTAAGAGAAACAGTGGTTTCAGAGACTTATATCAGTATCAACACCTTTAAAAGCTTTTCTCTCCTGTGACCACAATTTTAAGTTCAGTATCTCAAACTGGGAATTTTTGAATGGTATATAAAGTATTTTACTTCAAGAACCTCGAGGCAACTCCAAATTGATTATATAGAAACTAAAAAGCACTTTATAATACAAAATGTTTGGAACATTTAAATCTGCATCTGGATTGAGATGATCATCAAAATACACATAGTTGTTTTGCACTAAGTGCACAAAAAAAGTGGAAAATAAAAATTTGATTTCTGGACTCAAAAACATATAATTATAAAAATACCTTGAGCCATGGCTGAAAAGTTCACCAATCAAACAAATGGGACCAAATCATTCTTAGCTTAGAAATAATGATTATTAACAGTACTGGAACAAATTGACTGTTCACTAATCTTCACACCACAACAATACTGTTGTTACGCCTGTCAAGCTTTCCATTTTCTCACAGTTTCTAATTTCTACATGACAACCATCGATTTGTCCAGTTTAAATGACAATATCAGCTGTCGTTGCTAATTTGTTATAGCTGTAGCTAAAGCTAACAGGATACTAACATCACCCTCATGATCCATATTGCCGACATGGAAATAAAGCAACAGCACTGGTCTCACTACATTGCAGTGTAGAGCTAGTTAATGTAAATGCTATAGGTAAGATAAAGAAAATTGTAGGATCAGACTGTTTTGTGCTAACATAATCGTGTTTAGCTTACATAGGCCTACTAATTTGTACTTTTAACATGACAAGAGTAACATTAGAAATTAATCCTCATCCAGTCACTATCTAGTTAACGTTGATTGGTGAGTATAAATTTGTCAGCTGGACTTGCTAATGATTGCAGCTTAGATAAACACACCATAACTACGCCTTTCTTACACTGGTTTTGATTTTGGAAAGGCTGAGGAAAAAAAGATACCCATACTCCATACACTGTATAGGCCAAGTATCGCTCTCACTGCAGCCACTTGCACACAGGTTAAACGTGGAGGAATCCAAAGCTTGACAGTCCTGAAGTACCTATCTATGGTTGCTAAGCAATGATTGGACAGTTGCTGTTTGGGAGAGGGGTTTAACAGCTAAAGGCTTATATCATACAACTACATGACTACCATATTATGCTATAATGTACAGTGATATGACAGCGTGTAGTTATTTTATTTGGCATGCATGGATTAACCCCCAGGAAGAGGAAATGAATGCTGTTCAGTGCAGTTAGAAATATGCCGATGGCTTTGTAACGCGCAGCTGCAATGTGTGAAATCACTGTTCCTCTGAGGGTGTGTAAGTGTAGGAGTGACAATCAAAAGCATTTATTGTATAGGAGACTGCAAGGGGAAAAGCCTTGCTGTATTGGTGGACATATAAGCTTTAATGAAGTAGGCTTACACCTCGCTGCCTCCCACCGCTCATCGTTGCATACATGTCACTCTGCCACGGCGGTACCATATCAGCATGCCAGGCCCTATGAATACCCACTTAATCTTCACACATACAACATGAAAGTTGTTTACTGTACCATATAATATTAACAAAGTGGTTTAATTGAATGCTCTTGATGAATATCTTGTTTTATTCTGATGTTTTGTAGCATGCATTAAGTTTGCATGTGTATTTTGTTTTTTTCTAACAGAGAAGTCGGTAAAAAAATTTGTAATATGACATCTTAACATGTTATTTTGGAGTATTTTAGACAACTTATTTGCCTTAAAAATCTCACTGAACGTTCTCGGAATTCTGCAATGCCTTCAGATATTTCTTTTCAAGACTTTTTGTTCTCTGGTTTGTTTTTCTTTTGTTGTCCAGCCTCATACAGCCATGTGTTAATGTAGATCTGTATGGTATCATAAACTGAAAAGATTCATCTGCCAGAAGTCAGTATTCCAACTGTTATTTTTGAGAAGCAATTTGTGGCTTCTGCATGATGCTTGTGATTACACTAAAAGACCTATCAAAATGAATTGTTATTGATGCATAATATTTACTTAAAATCATTTTTTTGAGGTTAGTATGACAGCTTAGTACAGCCATTGTAGGTAAAAATTTAATAAATTTACGGAGTGTGTGTGGGGGGGGGGGGGCGTTAAAATTCAGGAAAAAAAACAGAATTCACAAGATTAAAGTCGTCAATTTACAAGAAAAAAAACTTGGAAATTGTCTGAGATTAAAGTTGTAAATTTGCTTGTGTTATGAAAGGCTCTGTAGTCTATCAAAAGCAGGGTATGCAGATGTTAATAACAACAGCCATCACATACTTTCACCTGAGATACTTCCTTCTGTTCAAAGACCAAACTTATAACTAATAGGGAAAGAACGGCAGACATTTATAAATTACTAAAATATGACACATGCTTTCAAGTGGCTGTGTTGCAGTCCCTCAACTGCCTGAAAGCTCCACCTCTTCTCTTATGTCTGCACCGACTCTTGCCTTGCATTATTATGCCTGATCAAACACTATTAGTTTTTTATCTTGTAAATCGACGATTTCTTTCTCAAAATATCACCCCCTTCCCCTGACTCCATAATTTCATAATTTTTTATCTACAATGGCCCTAATATGCCATCGTAGGTTAGTGATATTGCAAGATAGCACAGGTTTTACTGTTCTAATAGGAAATATGGAAGCCACTAAAGATTGATATATTGACTATTTCTGCAAGAATTACAGTAAATAAATATTCATATCAAACCTGTTTGTTGTTTTTTGTACATTACTGGATGCTCAGGACATTGCTACATTATAAAAAGACACTTCATGAAACTGCACTAAAACTCATGGTCTACAGGGCCAGTAAGGATATTTGGGTGCCCCAAAAGAAAAAATATCATTAAAGCTTGTCTTAAAAATATCCAGTGTATCATTAACATGTTCATGTGAATGGTGGGCTGTTGTAAAACAGCTTTTTACAGACGCTCTTCATTTTGATAGGCACCTGTCCGGGTTAACGACGCCAATAAAATCTGTTCAACCAGCGCCAGCTCAGTGTCTGGAATAGATGTTTTTCACACCCACCCCCCTGTTAAGTGTGCATCTCAAGATCTAAGGCTGTCCCATTCTAAAGACTCCTTCAAATGTGGCTGAGAAATGCAGCCTTTTTTTGGCCTATATTTTGAGGACAAAATCAGTGGGTCTTTGCAGCCTCCATATTGTCAGTTCTTTATAGAAGGCTGGTGTTTATACTTTTCTTCAACAAATGCCACGAAAAGACCAAAATAAACAATGCGTTAGTTATAAAAGCAGCTCACAAATATAGTTTAATTGTCACAGTAATTTCAGTAATTTCCTAAAACACCTGGGCACTATAGTTTTTAGCCAACTTACAGTACTCATACTTCATTATTCAAACAGGAGGAGTCGGTGCACTAGTGAGTATTTCTGGCAGCAGGATGGAGAGTTCATGGTGTAGATGCACAGACAATACTTTTGTTGGTTTTGGTCTTTTCATAGTGTTTGTTAACATCAATAATAATATGGAATATCCTTTATGATGCATTAAGGTGGTCTTTATCAACGTGTACAATCAGGAAATGTCATGAATACATAATGATATGGACTGATGGAAAAGCCACTCCAGGACATAAATAATGAAAACTGAATATTTGGTTCATTGTAATATAATGGAAATCGTAGGAGTTATTGCCATTAAACTGGTTATATAGATGTCCATCATGTTTTGAATTTGAAATGTGAACGAGATACATGCTTTTATATGAGTAGTATTTAGATCGCTATACAGCATCTAACAGCGGTTTTATAACAAAGGTCGTAACTCAATCTGAAGGCAAATTATTCAAATGTTTTCAATTTAGATTCATAATGATTATATGATGCAATGATTTGTTATTGTATAGTTGCAGAAACTTTCCTTAAGGGCAGTTGTGGCTCAGGAGGTAGAGCGGGAAATTCGTTTGGCGGCTGGATCCCGGCTCCTCCTGTCCCCGTGTCGCAGTGTTCTAAAGACACTGAACCCCAAGTCGCTCGTGAAGGGCAGGCCAATATCTTGGATTGCAGCAGAGCGTGAGCTTTAGTGTGTGTGTGTGTGTGTGTGAGTGAGAGTGTGTGTGTGCACATAAATGAGAGGCAAAATTGTGATCCGCGAAGGTGGAAAACCACTACATAAATGTATATTGCTTATAGATATTTAAATTCAGTCCAGTTACCATTATTGATTTGTTCTCCATCTTTAATCGCAGCACAGCACAAGCATTCAGTCTTTGGCTGCGCTCACAAAGGTCAGGGCGGATCGGGTCAAACTTCTACAAATGTGAACTTTCCACACACTCCTGCTTCTCTCTATTGGAAGAGGTGCACGTAAAATCTGTTTTCTGCAGTAATTTAAATATCTTTCAGGTTCTCTGAAGAACACACCTTTGCAAACTGCATCCTTTGAAGAATCCTGAATTGGAATAACGAATCTTTGTATTTTCATTCATCTAAATCGTGAGTATAACACTTCACTAGTTAGGCTGATTGGAATAACAGGCAGGCACACCTACACCTCTGGCTGCTGGAGAAAGCAACAACGTGCAGAGAAGTAAACAGGTTTCAGTTTGAAAGTATTTCTTGACTTTGGTGGTGTTTTAGAAACTAATAAAAATGGATCTGTATTCAGACTCCCGTGGATTTTTTAGTTTATCTAAAGGGGTTGGAAAGGGGTTTGGGTATCTGAATGGCAGTCAGATGTTGGTGGATTTGCTGTCATAAACTGAGAGGTTTCTCACTCACACTGCGGCATCTGGAATTTACGATTGAAGGATTCCTCAAAGCCCTTTTATGTTTCACATTATATGACACTGACATTCTTTGTACAATCACAATTTATGGAATATCTGCTTCATTATTTAACACTTTTGTGAAGCGTCAAGAGAGTCAAAAAAGCAAGCCCATGGCTTTTCTAGAACAGAAATAACAGAACATCGCGGTACCATTTGCTTGACATTGTGGGAAACCACACCTCCAAATGTATAATCCATATAAAAACATGGAGGGGATGGTGTGCGTGTGTGTGTGAGAGAGAGCGAGAGAGAGAGAGCGAGTGTAGTAGCTTCCTGTCATTATAAATACAAAGTCCAGTGTTTCTCTATAAAATTTGAGGCATTTCTGCTTTATTATTGGGCACAGTTGTTATACAATTCCAGAATAGCAACAAAACAATCGGTTGGTGCCATTGAGATGTGATGCGACGTGCTAAGCGCGTGGGCTGCCTTGTAACAAATGACAGTGTGCTAATTACAGCCAGAAGACTTTTCTTTCTTCCTCGTTCCAGTCCTGTCCAAGATTTTAATGAGCGCTCATTGCTATCTGCACTGTATGTCTATCTGCATATGAGTTTTAACTTCATGAGAACGGATTATATTATTATGGGTGCCTCCCACTTGATGCTATAATTGGAAACTTTAATTGGCACCAGGGTAAGTTAACTGACAATTAAAGAAAAGACATTTACTTATTTAGATTTTAAAAGGTTGTGGCACATCCAGTCTTATACATCTTCTGAGCAGCTATGCTATGAAGCCCACTTGCTAAGGTCAGTAGGTTTGACTGAGGGGAATAGGTTTGTATCTTCTGCATAACTACAATATGGAAAGAGATGTTGCAGTGGCGGATGTTGGGGTCAGCATGTAGAGACTAAAAAGAACAGATCCCAGAAATGTTCCTAGTGGTATTCCTTGTCTGATCTCAGTAGTTTGTGAGGTAAACTCCGTAAACACTGTATTTCCTGTTATATTTGAATAAAACTAACACAGAGCAGTTGCAGAAATGGGAAGCCCACTGCCTTAGTATGTTAAAGTATTAGTTCAACATGGATAATACTCTTCACCTTGTTGCAGAGAATTAGATGAGAAGCTTGATATTACTCTCGAGAGTGTGTGCGCTACATATGAAGTTAGAGTTTACCTGATATACCCAGTTAATTAGTAAAATTTAGAGTTGGTATCTGTAATAATTTTACTTTGGACAGAGCCAGGCTAGTGTGTCCCATAGAACTACTAATACTGAAATTAGATTAGGCACAACGTATCTTTCAGAGATGTAGTTTCTCATAAAAACAGATCACTTACTATTTAAATAGCTCCATCAAACTCCACTTGATCTTATCTGACACACCTCTCAGGGAATCACAAGCCCTAGCTTTTCTCACTACAGGGACCACCTGCATTGAGCACTGAGACTCTAAAGCAATAAAGCAGACTTGAACAAGCTCAGCATGAATCTAATATCACTTGAGCCGGTATGGGGAGCTACTAGAGTCTCTGAGCTGCTGTATTTGCCAGTTTTATTTCCCTCGATCCCCCTTAGAAGCTGATCAACTATGAGATACCTGCATGGTGAAATAGGTGGTGATGAGTAATGGAATAAGGGATAGTGTGTAAAATTTTTATGACATCCATCTCGAAAAGCCTGCACACAAACATACACCAACCCTGCAGAAAGTAACGTCTGTCCTTTCGATTCAGAAAGTACAGGGACAGGAACGTCCTGGAAAGTACAAGGCATAGTCTTAGGATGAATGCGAAACATCTCTCCTGCTATTCTTAGACTTGGACTGGGAGTGTTACTAAATATAACCAGATCATTTGTGCCTGCTATTCTATTTTTACCCAAGCCGGGGTCCTTCCTGGGACGTTGTGGTCTTTTCTTAGACTATTATGTAATAAAATCTTAAGGCATGATGCAATAATGCAGAGTCAGACCCAGAATGATGACAGTCAAGACAGAGAAGTCTGTGTTGTGATTAAAAAAAGGATGAGAGATTTCAAAAGGTTTTATGTGGGATGTGTTGTAGGGATTTCTGTGAAACAGTTTGCCTGTTTTTGCAAAACAAGATGTGTGCTGGAATCTTGATAGAGTTAAACAGCCCAAAGGACAGTTTGTCAGCTTGCTGTTAGCTTGGATGGTTGACAGGAAGGGAAAGGTAATGAGTTAGTCTTCAGGGAGACATGTCATCTTGAGTATGCAAAAGTAACAACATTAAAGAGGAAAAAACGCTGATTTTCAGCATTGAAATCTGTGCCTTGGGACAGTTAACACACAGCTAGTTCTGATGCAGTGAGAAACAAGCCAGCAGAGCCTCTCCAGTCTCTGCATCTGTGTGCACAGCTTTGTCAAGACTCAATTGGCAAAAATGGAGAATGTAAATGTGACAGTGCCAAGGAGGATTTTCTACAAATGTGGCTCTATTTTAGAGCTTATATAATCTTTATACAGATCAACGCAAAAGCCTGAATGCATAGGTTTAACAAATTTAATGTGAATTGGTAATACTGTCAACAATGCAGCATGATGAACATTGGAATTTTTGTTTTTCTGTTTTACGCATTCAAGAGAGGTTTGCACTTAAAGCAGTCTATTCTGTTTCAATGAATCAAATGCCTACTGTAATATCCAAGCAGAGCTGTGTGATTTTCAGTTTGTTGACTTCTGTTCCCAAGAGGCCAAAAAATAAATAAAGGTTTCTATAAAACCTTTTTTTGATTTTAATATTTACATTGAATCAAATGACTCTTTCTAAAGAGAAAGGGGTATTGGTACACCACAGATCCAACTGAGAATCAACACTGAATGTTTCACTTATGCATTGCTTTTAGCATCTTTTAGCCTCTCTGAGCTCAAGATTTGTTTCTCCAGCCCAGACACAGACTCTACAGATGAGTCTCACTGCACCAACACTTAGACAACTGTTTGCAAGCTCCCACAAAGAAGCTCCCACAATAACGATACCTTCCCAGCACTGAACGGCAGAGAGACAAAAGGCATAAAAGTAAACGTGTGGACATTCATAATGTTACTCTGTGTCTTTTAGAAGTGTAAGTAAACAATTGTTTGCTAACATATTAGCTATAATACCTTAATAGGCTATAGGTCAGCACTGTTTCGGATTCTATCTGTCCCTTAGTGGTCAAAATGGCTCGAAACACTGTCACTGTCATGTATCCTATATTCATAGGTCAGTGTTGCTGTTAAGTGATAATTTAGTCTTTTGAGTTGATAACTGGCTAAACATAAAGGTGAAGATATTGCCTGTACTGAAACAATGTGTAATCTATGGTAACATACTATGGTAAAATATTAACATTCTTTGTCAGTCCCACAGAATCAAAGAGCATCTTTCTATCCTCAACTGTATCAACCAATATTTAGTATTCAACACAAGAGGCAGGGAGAACATTTGTGGGCTAAATACATCAGAAAGTTCAGTCGTTTGTCACGATGCATTTTATATCAGAGGTCTGACTCTTCACCAGCAGAGAAACTGTCTCTTTCTTACTCTCTTCTTCTTCTTACCCTGCTCTCATTGTGTCTTGTTCACACCCGCTGATGAAAGTTATTCTGTTGTAGACAAAGCAGGACTAGGGATAGTCAGTACACCATGCAATCAAATAACAGCACTCTGTTTTAAAAGGAACACATATCTAGCAGTGTAATTGAATCAGAGGCATATTTTCCTTACAAAAGGGAGTCACAGGTGACCGACTTCTCCTTGTCATCTGACCTGACTGGTCAGCACGTACTCAGGTGACCAACATACAGTCTTGGGTGCCCACAAAATCCAATCACACACACTGAAATAAAATGGATGGTTGTCTCATACTATAGTTTTCAAGATAGGGGGGAAAAAAATCTAAAATTCCGATCAAAAAGACTGATTGGGTTTTGGAACATGCTCTCTTCTATCTAAGCATATAGGCTATGTGCAAAATTAGATGAACAAGTGAGTAATAAATGATTAATGGTCAATTTACTGGTGGGTCTCTAAAATATTGAGAGAGAGCTCAGCCATGAAATGCAATGTAAATGGATCTATTTATGGAGTAGCAGAGGAAGTCATGTGGAACAAGCTAGTCGGGGGTGCCTTGTTCATATAGCTTTTAGAGGCAAATGATGGGGGGGGCACACACCACACCCACATTTGCATGTAAAGCCACTTTTCACGGGGACATTAAACTTTTAGGCACACACAGCAGCAATAGCAATAAATAATTTCCACAATGAGAAAGATGGAAAGCCTCAGCTCAACTCCCATGTCCCCTGTAGCCTCCCACGCCTGTTAACCCCCCTCCTACTTTGTCTCATGGGATTGTTTGGGAGTGAAAAGGAAGGGAAGTGACACTTTAAAACCTCTTTTTATTAATTCTGAGAGGAGGGAGGGTTTGGCGGGGTGTCACAGCAGCTGATGGGAGCAGGGCGGCTGTGTGATGCACTTTCAACCAGCGGATATCAGGATGAATAACTTAACACAAAACTCAAATCCTCTGCTAACAGTAATAAAATGAGATTGTGTTGTTGTAACCTGTAGTTAATTTCGGAAGTCTACTATGAATGTATTAATATACACAGGACTACCACTATCACTTATTTAAATTATCAATTCATCTGCCTATTATTTATTTTTGCTATGAAAAGTCACAAAATAGTGAAAAATTACCCCTTGCAATTTCCCAAGAGACCACAATCGTCTTGTTCAAATTTAAGAAGGTGCTTGAAAAGCAACTCAGATGATTAATAAAATATCAGAAAATTGCTGGTTAATTTTCTGTAGATCGACTAAACGATTAATAGACCAATAATTTCAGCTCTAGTCATGTAATGTATAGTTTAGACAGTAGCCCCCCCACTCACATGTACTCAACAACTTTAATAACGACTGATCAAGACAAAAAACTGGTTGATCAATAATTTAAGATTCAGGGTAATTCCAGCCTGCTTAATCTGATGCCACTCACTGTAGTCATAAATGGGATGTATTATTACTACATGGTACCCTATAATAGAAGTTTGGTAGTGCACTGCCATCTACTGGCTACTGTGCCCAGATGCAAGTGTTTGTGACTGTAATTTACAACATGCACACAAAATGGTAGTGGACACATGAACATTACACCCAAATGTAATTGGCCATTTCATGGTTATTCATCTCCTGCTATATTATCCGCCACACTTCTGGTTTCAGGCTTTCCTCAATACTTTGGAACCTGGCTGCAGGAATGTCTTCCTATTCAACCTAATAATTATAATACTAATGCTGAGAAATGAGATTTATAAATGTGCTAAAATGCAAGAATAATATGAATAAGAAATATCCATTGAAATGTTTAGTATACATGCAATAATTCCAGAGTATCTTGTAGGGGCCTTCAATAATATTACATCCTTTATTTAAACTTGGACTTACCAAAACCAAAATGAAATCTGAAACACACAGGCCTGATAATCACATTTACAGTTTTGAATCTTGCTAAATTATTTTATTCATGTGTTCTATTTATAAGCATAAGTAAAATGTTTTTGTAATTAGTTAACCATGGAGTTTTTTGCCTACATATTTTATTATATTCTACATATTGCGGTCTTGGTAGGTGAGTTGTGTAAGGTCAACACCAGTTCCCAATCTGGGGATTGAAACTCTGCTTGGAGTCATAAGATAAATCTGAGGGGTCACAACATGATTTACAAGTTTGGAAAGAAGAAAAAAGATATTTCTTCTTTATAAAGTTCTTGCTGGGCTATAAATGCTGACAGACTGTGATAAGTTCAACAGGCCTAAACCCATGGGCTGTACCCCAGAAGTGAAGTCAAAATTTCTCCATCACCTTTACCACTACAGCCCTGCGCTAACTGGGAATACAGTGTTTCTAGTTAGATCAAGTTTATCAGGGTGACTAGTTCATTATAGGAAGGGGGGAAATCAGGGAAAACTACCACTATCTGCAGCTGAGCACTGCACAGATAAAACAAAGCTTAATCAGCAAGTTTGTCCCTCAAAATAACAGCTGTGTGTTTATCAGTAGAGTAAGGAAACTTTCCTGCATGGGAACAGTCCCACCTGTCACCTGATTATAGACTACAAAAACTGATGTCTGACACACTCCCAAGCATTACGGACATACGAGATGAGAGGCTTCTGGCTGCTGTTAGTGCTTGTGGCTGCGGCCACAGCTGAGAGGGTCTTCACTGGGTAAGTTAATCTGTGCACACTGTAAGAAGAGATATTTACTGTGGTTTCATTCAGTTTTTTTTAGGTTCACAGTGAAATTCTTAGCTCTGTGTTTGGTCTGGCAAGCATGAAAGTCATCAAAATTCTTATTTTATATGGACAGTGACATTCAAAGCCAGCCAGGGGTTTTATTACTTTACTCTGCAGAGTTTTTATTTTTGTAATCTTATTATTAATATTAACCCTTATCAAGAACTCCTATATGTTACTGATATGATAAAGTGCGCTCCAATCAACATTTGGGGCACCTTACAACCATCTCCAATAGTCAGTAAACATATAAATTAAGCCAAAACTTGCTACGATGCCTGGTGTAAACTTTGCAGCTGCTCCAGAGAAATTTAATGAGAAGATGTTGTTATGGTGAACACTGGAAAACACAAATGATGTTTCTGGAATTATAAAGTACATTTTATCACAAAGTAAATATTAAACCGGGAATAAACGTCATCTGGACATTAAAATTTCAAGCAAGCAGCTTTCAGAGTCCATTAACTCAGTCTGCCATTTAGTTTAGAAAAAGCAGATGCAGTCTTAGTTATTAAATAAAAGTATTTAGAGAGTTGATTAGGTGGGTTTTTTTCTCCCTTAGGTGCCTTATGTTCTGCATGTCAAATAACTATCCAAGCTGAGAAGTTACATTGGTATTCAATGGACAGGACATGACTAGGCTTTATGTTCAGAGAAAGATTAGATCATAATTACAGTCGTGTTAAAGTAAATAGAGTGGGAGTGTTGGTAATTTTGGTGAGTTAGTGACAGAACTACATCTTCCTCTGTTGTATGATCGTATGATTGACTATTGTGTGTTGTATGTATACATAATTATATTTTAATGACCTTTTTAACCTATGTATTTTAACCGTAAGGAAATGTCAATAAAGTAATAAGTGTATTATTGCTGAACTCACTGCACAGTATATTGCCACGAATATCAGCATCAACTAAAAACCTAAAATGTACATGATAATGTTCAGAAACTGAAATGATTTTCCTTCAGAGATCAAGTCATCAGAGTCAATGTGGAGTCTGAGGAACAGATCCAACTCCTGCAGGCTCTTGAAACTCAGCAGGAGTGGGAGGTACACACACATACAAACACTTCATTGGGTATACAGTGCACCTATGTTCTGGTTTTCTCAGCTGCTTGTGCCTAACACTTTCTCATGAACTTCCAAGTAGTATAAAAGGCAAATGAAGTTCAACTTGAAATAATCCCCTTGAGAGTTTATGTAGGTTGAAGGTTAACGGCGTCATCTCCACTTGTCAGAAAGTCAGAAACTCTCAGAGGCCCGTCTGGTGTTTTATGCTACAATTTTTAATAAAGAAAAAAAACAAGAGATTAACCTTTACTTAATCTTTCGCTTCTCCTCTAAGACGTAAATGAATGCAAATTTAGAAGCAAACATGTACAATAAATACAAGTCTTGGATATATTTTACATCAACAGACCCTAGAAAATACCCCTTTAGAAAATGTTTGTTTTAGTTAACTTGACTTCTGATTAGATAAATATATTTTCTAATGGTTTGAATAATAGAGAAAGCTTTGACACAAAGGACTCTTGGCATCTTGAAACGTCATTGTAGGTTTTGGACATTTGGAGATCCATGATGAAGATTCAGTCGGTGAATGGCTCAATGGGAGCACCGCACGACTACACATTTCTATTTGGATTCATTTTGGTCACTTTGCATACCCTTTGATGGCCTGCCTAGTGTTTATAACTTATAGCAAGGTGACATAGTGTGTCACAATATGTAAACACAAGTACTGTCAAAGGAGTGAAAAATAGTACAAAGCAGGTAGCAAGGATCTAAGAACATATATACAGATACAGATGTGATTAAGAGGTACATAATGCACTGTGAAGAGAAACCTTCAACTGGAGTAATGTGTTCATGCTTACTGGATCTATTTCAGCATAAAGAAATTACCATTCTGTTCAGTCCACTTCCCCATTTTCAGCTTCTTAGTATTATGGGTGTTCAGGTTATCCAGTCCAGTCTGTGATTTCTGTCTGATCCCAGCTGGACTTCTGGCTCCACCCTGTCTCCACTGAGCTCCCCGTCGACATCCGAGTGCCCCGCGGCAGTTTGAGCTCTGTGATGGAGTACCTTAGTGCCAACAACATCCTCTATTCTGTCGTTATAAACAACCTTCAGGTATGTAATGCTCAATATGCAGGCATTTATCATCACAAACTCTGACACTCATCCGTGTACCAGAAGAGTTGCACGGATTTAGGGGATGTTTTTATAGTCTGATGAGTGTTCTTGTGTCCTGGTATCTGTGATTATAGTGTCTTAGGTTTAAATTAGATTTTCACAATAAAATGATGACAATACTGAATTTTAGGTTTCTTGCTTGTAACATTCAGGAGCTTCTCGATGAGGAGAAAGCTGAGATGGTGGTGAACCAGATGAAGGAGCGCAGCACCAGGAGCTTCAACTTTGGAGCTTATCATCCTCTGGAGACAGTAGGCTCTTTATATAAACAAATTACTCATTACTCTACCCTCAAGACCCCTACAAACACCTTATTACAACTCATCTGAACTTCATATGAAACTTGAATCGGTTACCAAAATATTGATTGATGACTGTTGTTTGTTGATGACTTGTTATGGCCTGGCTCAATGGCCACAACAAAAGGGAGACACACCAATGGAAACAGTGAAGAGCATTTTATTAATCCAAATGAAACCAAATTATAGTATACAAGTAAATATACTCAACATGGGGTGTGGAAATCAGCAAGTCATGGGTGAGTGAGGTGCATGAGTGAAAGTGATGGGTGTGGGTGCTGTAAAGTGCACAAGAAAAACAAAGGGATAAACTTAGAGCAACTGTGGGAAGGAGCAGAGGGAGAGATTAGACTGCAGTCAGGACTTAAGTAACCCAGGAACACAATGGACACCACAGGTGTCCCCAAAATGACACCATGGGACATCACAATGACAAATAGAGTTTGATTTTGACTGTAGCTTAGATTAAGCTAACAGTCAGATAGATGTCTCAATTCATCCTTTGTACAAAGTTGTCCGGTTCTTGACTAGTGCAGTACAGTACAGTGATGGAAGAAGTATTCAGACCCTTTACTTAGTAGACGTACTATCAGCAAAATGGCTTTGGAGGGAGGCTTAAAGGGAGGGGGTGGGATTTTTTCAGTTAGATACTTTCAAAATGTCTCTTGCTAGTTTCTCCAACATTGTCCACCTAAGTTTTAAAGTATCAAAAGTAAAAGTACTTATTATGCTGAATTGCTCCTTTCACAGTGTTATCTGAAACCTAACCCCTAACTCTAACAAACACATGTAAAAGCAGTTTAATGTTATGGTTTAGTGGATTAGTTGGATACTTTCTCAGTTGTACCATGCGCCATCATATCGCACAAGAATATCGGTTTTCTTTATGTAAGAAGTAACCAGTAAGTGTCAAATAAATGTAGTTGAGTAAAAAGTGTAATATTTCCCTCTAGCATGTCATGGAGTAGAAGCATAAAGTAGCATAGCTTGAACACTCAAGTAAAGTACAAGTATGTCTAAATTATACACTGCTTAAGGACTAATTTGCCTATCATTGTGTCTGTATTATAATAGTTGACTTGTCTCCTATACAGCTCTACAGCTGGATGGACACTCTGGTGGCTGAGCACCCTAACCTAGTCACCAAGCAGGAAATTGGTAGATCGTACGAGAACAGGCCGATGTATGTGCTCAAGGTAGGACATATCTTATACAATGTACCTGCCTATACAGCATGTTTGTGCATTTTTGTAAGAAATGTGTTAGCTCTGGAATGATTTAGCTGGGAACCAACACTTGAACCCACAGGTTTTCACTCTGTTGACATTGTGTTTAGTTCAGCACCGGGGGAAACAAGCGTCCTGCTATCTGGATCGACACAGGTATCCACTCCAGAGAATGGGTGTCTCAGGCTACCGGAGTGTGGACAGCCAAAAAGGTACATGTAAACAAGATTGACTAATTTGATAGATTGAACTGAAATTTGTTAGATCTCAACAGGCAGCAAAACGTGAAAAGAAAAATATCTTAGAGGTGCATTTGAAAGTCTAAATATGATAAATAAAGCTGAAATGGTTTTCAAGCAAAAATGCCAAACTTTCTCTGTTTCTAAAATTTCCTGCTGTCTTTTGTCATATTTAATTATAAATTGAGGATCTAGGAATCTTAAGACCCCAACTTGGGCTATTTTTTCACTGTCTTCTAACATTTTACAGGCAAAATGATTAATCTAATCAATAGTCAGCAGACTGAGGAAAAGGAAAACGATCTTTAGTTGTAGCCGTAATAATAAAAGGAATTTAAGTTGGCAAGGAATCAATATGTACCCACAAAAGGCACATTGACTATATTAATCAAACTATTTTTCTTGTTTCTAGACTCAACTAAATGGATTAAATCAATTTCCGAAGAACACTGAGCTTCACTTTGCTTCCTTTCTTGTAAATAGTCTTAGAGTTTCCCCGTCTTCTGTTGTTGCAGATATTGAAAACTCTGGATAAAACTGTCACATCTACAGGATAAGATATAAAAAGTGTTTTCTTTTCTACAAAATCAATGCCTTGTGTTCTTGCTCAGATTGCCACTGATTATGGTAACGACGAGTCTCTGACCTCCCTTCTGAACACCATGGATATTTACATGCTGATCGTGGCCAACCCTGACGGCTATGCTTACACCCACACCAGTGTATGTTGCAAACATTCAATGGAAACATGGTGGATTTGTAAAACCTGCTACATCTTTGTATTTCCTGTTATTCCTATGACAATGTTATTTTGTGTTGTGTGTACCAGTAACTGTAACAGTATTTTGACATTTTACATGGATATTTGAGAGGAAAACGTGGTTGATTATACTTGCAGTTATGTGCATTTTGCCCGAAACGCAGTGCTCGACTGATTTAAACTGTGTGACGTACAGGACCGTATGTGGCGTAAGACCCGTTCCAAGATCTCTGGGTCCGTGTGTCGTGGAGTCGATCCCAACAGGAACTGGGATGCAGGCTTTGGTGGTCAGTATAGAAAAGACATGAACTTGACATGAACTTTTTTATTGTACCAGATCAGACAGCCAGTCTTAAATAAGATAAAAAACCTTTCTGTTTTACAATATTACTTATATAGGAAAATGCAAAAAAAAAAAAAGTACAGTATGTGTGTAAGTTTTAAATTAACTTAATTAAATTGTTCCAATATAAGGAAATGTGTTGAAAATTGATACGTCCATAAAAATTTCAGTGAATAAAATTATAATTTTCAGTGATAATTGTAGTATCGGGAGATTGATTCATCTTGCTTTGCCAGACCGTGGCAGGTGAAACACAATGCTAGTTTTGGACAAATGCATGTGATTATTTACTCAATTGCCAGTTTATTAGGTACACCCAGCTAATGCAGTCTAATACAAGAGGCTTTGGAGGCTGCAGTTTGTTCAGAACAGAATATGTTAAAATATAGAAACATCTCACAATGTGGCGTAATACAATTCAACAACGCCACAAACTCCCAAATTACCATGAAGTAATTTGGACTTAAAAATACACTAATTTTAGTTAGCTGTACCTAATAAACTTGCAGTTGAGGATACATGGTGTGCATGATGTAAGATCATGTATGTCATGAAGTGCTTACTAGACATTGTACTGTCTGTCAGTATGTATTATGTTATGATGTTGCATTGAGTCTCACACGTTTCACACATGTTTTCATTTTAATTTCTCCCTCAAGGCCCCGGTGCCAGTACAAACCCCTGCTCTGACTCCTACCACGGCCCCTCAGCTCACTCTGAGATCGAGGTGAAGAACGTGGTTGACCTGATCAAGAGCCACGGCAACTTTAAGTCCTTCATCTCTGTCCACGCCTACTCCCAGCTGCTCATGTACCCCTACGGCTACACCTGCAAGAGCGTGTACAATCAGGCCGAGCTGGTAAGGCAGTAAAAAATGTAGTAGGCTGTACTGTGAGGAGGCACATGGCAAATTAAATCGTATACCTTTTTTCCACTGTCCCAACAAACTGTGATTGCAAAGTAGTTCTCACACAGGAGAGTCAAATCATCGAGGTAGTTACATTTTCTCTCTTTTGTTAATAAAAGAGAAAAAACAGACCTTTTTTTAAATGTCTGTATTCTCAGGAAGACGAAAGCTTCAAGTATTATAACCTGATTTGAAAATGCCAGTTAACCTTCAATAGAGATTAAAAAAGAAATATCTTGCCTTTGGCCACAGACTACTTTAACAACGTTAATTGGACAACTTGAGATTACAGTTTCTTATATAATCAAAATTGTATAGCTAAAAATTTTAATAAGTAACTCATCTTTCCAACATACGGCAAATTATGTCCCTTAACTCAGTCAGAAATCCGCTTTATCCACTTATGCAATAGTGCATATTAATAATTAACTGCCAAATGGACCAACAGTCCTGTAGTCATACGTAACTAAGGAATCTGCGACGAATGTAAGGTAGGGGGATATTTAAACTGTAAATTAATGTATGCTTGACCTGGAACTCTGCACAAGGATTTGAAGGCCTTGAAAGTTGCGGTCTTATTCACCAACCCTTTCTGGATTTTTCCCATCTGATCTTTTGATTTTTCCTCAATACCCTTTTTCTTCTGCACCAGTATTATCTCTGCAATGTGCCTAACTACATTCCTGTCCTTTTTAAGGACTCTGTTGGCAGAGCAGCAGCGCAGAAACTCACTTCCCTCTATGGCACCAAATACAAGGTTGGAAGTATCTGCAACATCATCTGTGAGTAACTTTTTTGTTAATGCCACAGCACAATTACTCAAAGTTACACACACAAAAAAATACTGAAGTGTGTCATTCTAATTATCACATAGTATACTGTATATTTTTAATATGTTTATACATATGTGCTTTATTTTTTTAGCGCTACTTTTGTATACTTTACTATTTACTTACATATTTTATTGTTGTATTCTAATCTAATTTTTAATATTTTAAATTTAATATACATTTTCTGTGTGTGTATAGCATGGAGGGGGCTACTGTATTTCATTACTAATCTTACCGTTATCCTGGACAATAAACCTGAGCCAGTAACCTTGATAAATAATAATTAACTGGTACATCTATGAAAACAAAAGTTAGTAAATGTAGTGGCTACAGTAAATAACCTCACCTAAAAAAGGATTTGTAGTAATTGCAATTCCTCTAAAATACCAATAATATTAGTACTTCTCACAGCTACCAGTACTGATATATAGACTATTTCTGATACTAGTTACTAGTACTGATACATCGGAAAATATTGGCTTATTATTGTAGGTATCTGCAGATATGTGAAATAATAAGAAACAAAAAATCAGAGGATAATATGCCAAAGAATGTCTGAGATAATTTAGTCACCATTAGATAAATTGTTCACCAGAGGCCACTGGTTTATTATCCAACTTTAAAATGCCCCACTCATTATGAACTTTTTTGATCATAATAGTAATATACCGTAGATAACTATTTGATGTTTGAATTTTGTTGTCGGTCTCAAAAATCACCTCTTCCTCTGCTCTTAGATCAAGCCAGCGGCGGCAGCATTGACTGGTCTTACAACCTGGGCATCAGGTACTCCTTTGCCTTCGAGCTGAGGGACACAGGTCGCTACGGTTTCATCCTGCCAGCCAGTCAGATCATCCCCACTGCCTCTGAGACCTGGCTGGGTCTGAAACACATCATGGAGTATGTCCGTGACCATCCTTATTGATGGCTATAACCAGTGGAAGGAGGATAAACAGTCTATTGACGGTTTTTATTTTGCAGAATGACTCTCTCATCATTCTATATTGATGTATCACATCTGACTTTAATATTAACCAATAAAGACAAGAATAACCTTTTTGTCTGTGTTTCAGAACTCCTTCCTTTCTTTCTGTGTTCAATTGTTTTACACATAAGGTCAACCTGTTTGACACCAGCCACAGTTGTATTCATTTTTAGACTTGAATAGATAAATGTAGAGAAATACTGTAAGATCCTTGACTTGGTTTGTACCCACGAGTGTTGGACTGAAAGGGGACTGAGTAGACAAGTTACTAGAACGAATAGCCCTGGATGCGGGGAAGGGTCTATAGAGTACATGACAACTTTAAAAAAAAAAAAAATCTATTACTCCATTAAATCATTTTTAAATTGTCATAGATGTTTTATTTAAGATATTAAATCAGTACTGTTACTTGCTCAGACTTGACCTTTGGTTCAAAAAAGTGCTAAATAACCAACCCTCACCCTATGATCCAGACTTAAAGGACCTGGCCTTGAAATAGGCTTAGACCTGGATTTGAAAGAGATTCTGGACTTGACTTGGACAAGACTTGACTTAAACATTTGAGTTATACTAAATCTATTTAAAACTAAATACAAATTACATTTTAATATTTAGCAGTAAAACAGGAACAAAATTAGAGGAAGGGTAAAGTTAATTTAGTTGTGTGAAAAATATACAAATAAAATGTGCTGTTCATATGAGCAGAAAAACAAGTTACCGTGCTTCCCGCCTCTTAAACATCTTTTATCCTGCCTCAGTAGATGACTTTAACACGTAAATTAGCTGGTTGATTCATCAAATCTAATCAAATGAAAATGGGGTATCTGAAACAAATTGATATTGAAAACTTCAAGTCATGGCGAGGGAAGAAAGTTATTGGTCCGTTCATGCGATTTAATTGTATAATTGGCACAAATGGCTCAGGTAAGTTCACTTTTTTACTGTCAACCTAACTGAGCTAATGTTATTGTTAGCTGTCAATGCTACTAGCTTAGTTGAAAGCTTATTAAGCTAGCTAAAGCAGAGATTTGCTCGGTTATATTTTTGCATATCACTCATTTTTAGTAGATATAAATAACTGAATAATGTTGGAGTTAAGTAAAACCATAGAGAATCATTCTTTTTTTTGTAAAAAAAAAAAAATGTAAAGGGTTAACAGTTGTTAAAAATGTGAGAACGTTATAACACCGCTCCTTAAATGTAGCTAGGTTAGCTGACTGTTAGCTACATTAAACATTAAAGGCAACGGCTAAGACCCATTGCTTTGGCATTAATCAAAACTGCTGAATCAAAAGATTTATTCAGAGTGATGCTGAACATGTAAAACAACACTAGGCAAGTCCAATGTGATGGACGCCCTGAGCTTTGCCATGGGCGAGCGGGCTGCCTGTCTCCGAGTGAAGCACCTCAGGGACCTGATACACGGAGCCCACATCGGGCAGCCGGTTTTAGACACGGCCCGGGTCTCGATGCGGTACTGCGACGACGAAGACCAGGAGACCGTCTTCTGCCGGAGCATCATAGGTCGGTTTAATGACTTCAGATTTTCTGTTTTAACTCCAAACAGCGCAATAAACTTTGCTTTTATTTCTAATTCGACTTGGAATTTGAAAAAAATATCTTAAACAGTTGTCCCTAGTAGTATCAAGTAGAAACGAGTAATGTTACAGTAGTTTTTTATTAGTTACCTTAGCTGCAGTAATAGCTAACGCATTCTTGTTTTTTTTAGGTGACTCCTCTGAGTATCGCATCAATGGTCAGCATGTCACTCTGGCCAAATACATAGCGGAGCTGGAGAAGATTGGCATTGTGACTAAGGCTCGCAACTGTCTGGTGTTCCAGGTAAACACTGCTATAAACAGTAGTGAAGAGACACACATAAAAAACATGCTGTAATGTAGAATATTTGTGGAGATACTAAGATCAGATATATATACTGCATATCCATTGTATTGTATATTTATTTATTTATTTCTGCTGAGACAATTTTCCTGCTCTGGAGATAGGGAGTAAAATTAGCATTAAAAATGGATGGTAGATTTACTTAATTCCCCACACAAAAAACAATGGTAATCTATTGAGTGGCTGGTACACTTTGAGCATTCACTAGCCCTTGGCTGGTGGGAAAAAAAAATTATTTGCACCCTTTGTGGAGACTAAATAAATGTGAAGTTCTATGACTCAATAGGTACAGTAATACAAAAAAGAACTGATTTGGGCACTAAAATATACAGTGCATTGTAGAGCGATACCAGGCATGATAGAAGACAGCACAACACATAAGATACTGTACATTGGAATAGATACATAGCATTCTTTCTGTTTGAAATCTTTTATTATTTATAAGTTTATTTTTAAGAAGCTGCAATGATTAATCGATTAGTTCCTGGTTTCTTTACTCCTCTATAAAAGTAAGCTGAATATCTTTGGGTTGTGTATAAAACAAGAAATGAGACATTTGAGGACATCATCTTGGGCTTTGGGAAACAATGATGACCTTTTCCCCAATTTTCTGACATTTTATAGACCAACAACTGATCACTTATAGAACAACTGATCACTTAATCCAAAAAATATTTGATAGATTAATCATCATTAGTTGCAGCCCTATTCTGTAACAGAGTTATGTAGGGACTTACTTTAAAAACTGCATCACACCAATGAGCCTATACAAAGGCTGTTAGTAATAATGCCTTACACACAAGTCTGTTACTTCTTATGCTCCTCACCAGGGGGCAGTGGAGTCCATAGCTTTAAAGGACCCAAAGGAGAGGACCAAGATGTTCGAGAGCATCAGTCAGTCGAGAGAGTATGCTGCAGAATATGATAAGAAGAAAGAGGCCCTGCTGAAGGCCAAAGACGACACACAGTTTCACTTCAACAAGAAGAAATCTGCTACTGTCGAGAGAAAACAGGTGTCCCAGGAAAAAATGGAGGTAAAGTAAAACAAAAAGAGAAATATAATCTTTCTTTCAGGGTTGTTTACCCCAGTTCCCAAAGTCACCACACACTTGCAGTTATTTCATCTGCCGGCTACAATCATAACCACCCATAGACAAATCAAAGGTCGTCCTGAGAGCAGGTGGCTCTTATTAATTTTTCAACCTCAAGTACACAATGCTACTACAGTACCATCAGTAATGCTGTTTCCCAAAGCAGGGTCTCTAACTTGCTTCCTGAAAACATAAAAGCAACAACAAAAAAGGCATTCACAAAAATCAAAACTTCTCCCTGAGTTACCAGGGATGTGATTTTTCCGGATTAATCCGGAATTCTGGATTTTTCAGCCTGAAAATCTGATGTGGGATGTGCATTACTCTGGCCCAAACTTAACTTCCGTCAGACTTCCGCAAGCAATCCATAACAAGTAAATAACCTTAGCTGCCAGTCGAAGAAAAGAAACGTTACTTGGTTACTACAAACTGAAATGTGTTAAGTTCACACTACCAGACCAGTTTTTGAACAAAAATTTGAGACAAGAATGTTTTTCTACTGACCTGTCTGATTTACCACAGTGTTTCCCACCGATCATCGACACTAAAGTTAGACGAATTTGTGCAGCGGTGTTCATGATACTAACCATTCAATACACAGATTTGTCCAGTGTGTTTTTGAGAGAGAGAGGGGGAGTGAGTGAGAGGAGGTGCTGAACGAATATGTGCTGTGTGCAGCTCTGCAATCAAATACAAGTTTGCCCATCTTAAATAGTAAAAAAAAAACGTAAATCAGCGCTGATAATGTGGTGGGCCGCCACAAATAAATGAATGTATGGGAACACTGTGCTGGATATCACTCACCGTATTAGCCAGTAAACATAAACCCAGTGATAAACAAACAGAATGGAAGTTGACTTCGGGCCGAGTGCATCACCTTTTACTAGAGGGATACACTGACTGACAGGTGTAAAGGTGAATATATACTAGGTTTTTGACCATACAGAAAGGCAAAAGTTTCTACAGCCATTTACATACTAATGTGGGTTAAAAAATATCATAGACGGTTAAGACATGACCATTGTATTAGTTAAATTTTCTCCCTCTAATTGGGCTTTATGCTGGCATTCATTCTGGGGTGCACCCCTTGCTGTCTCTGTTGATGTAGGTGTAAGAGAAAACAAGAAATATATTATACACCCAGGAACAGCATCATGGACTGCCAAAGTTTCTATTGAGCTTTCTTGTCCATCGATTGACTGCCCTCCCCACACCTCCCACTTTTCCAGGCCCAGAGGTACCAAGCGCTGGTGGATGACCTTCACCAAAACCGCCTGCATCTGAGCCTGGCTGAGCTGTACTACAATGAGAAGGGCATCAATGCCCTCAGCGACACACTGAGGGAGAAACAACAGGCTGCAGCTACAGAGAACAGTAAACTGGTGAATGCGGAACAAACGGTCAAAACCTACAAGAAGGAAAATGGACGCCTCACCAGAGAGCAGCAGCACATAGAGAAGGAGATCCGGTGTGTATGTGTGTGTGTGGATTTAATATTTATGGGCAGTTTAATGAAATAGGATATATAATATTTGCTTTTCATATCTGGGAATAATCTGTCAGCAGAATTACAAAATTGTATCTGTGGGAAAAAAGAATAGTATGTTAGAAAATACAATAAACTATAGTTAAGTAGGGCTGGGCAGTAAAACAATAATAATAATAACTGCAATGTAATTTTCCTCCATAACAATATAACAAATGTTCCATAAATGTTTTAGTTAATTAATTTAAATCACAAATGAATTAGCACTTAATTTAATAATTTCTATTGAGATATTTACTATGTTGAGGAAAAGAGACTGAAAAAAGACTTTACTTAATTTCACTGTTAAAAAAAGATTTCTGTCATAATTGAATGTTTTGCCTCAGATTGGCCATTTAAATGTATTGCAATTGGTAATAAGGACTGATTAAGCTATTTTCTGTCTTTTTGGCAAGTGCAGTACTACAAACTACATATTTCATTGGATTGGTTGGCACAGAACAAGCTGAATTAATGTCATAAGGACAATGGTGGGAGCGACACTTCCTTTATTTTATTTATAGCCTATCCCAGCCATGAATCATGTTAAATAAAG